CAAAGACTGTAAAATGGGACCCAATGCGTCTATGCTTGGCACTCAGCATTAAGGAGATAGACTAGCGTCCTGTCCAGGGGGTGTACCTCTACATCAAGCTGCCTCACGCTACAGAAACAGGAGATTTATGCAAGGCTACTTACGCAAATCAGCACTCCTACTCTGAGACCCTTGATACATATGGCCCCAGAACAAACCTTAGGGCTGTAGTAGCAGATATTACAAATGTGGAATGGAGCCAAGACCAGCCATACATTGCACAAGTAGGCCTACATGTATACACTAAATCCCAAATGAACCCCGATTAGTCCCAATTCTCCACCCTTCTCCCAAAGTGTGCCCTTGAACACCCATCATGGATTAAACAGTGGAAACTCCCTTTAGCCAATGCTTTGACCCTTCCAATGCATTGACCCTTCCAATGCTTTTAAATCCATGATGGGAAGTGTGCAAGTAAGTGCACATTTTTGGAAAAGGGTGGAGAATTGGGGTGCAACGCTGGATTTCCTGTTGCTGCCTCTGAGCATTGCATGATCAGTTCTTGATGAGTATTCGGATTTAGGGTTTTAGTGGATCATTGTGACAATTCAGTATTATAATTTGATATCTTCCAGGAGGTGATAACATGGCTCCCATGGAATTATGTCCTTTTGCTGAAATGGCAATGGGCACACTTTTAATCTCTATGGTTCTAGTCTCTGGCCTTAGTATAGACTAGTAGGTGAACATTAGCACTGTTTCTTCAGAGCCTTCTAGTCATGGCAACAGAATGTAAAGACTAGGGTATGATTTTGCTACTACATCATCAACCTAATCATGACAAATGTCCATTAAGTCCTAAGGTTGTTATTTCCTAAAAAAATATATTTGTTTCCATTTCCTTCTTTTGTTTCCTAAAATAAACGTGTGTTGAGATGTCTTTTGCAATGAAAGCCACCATCCCTACAGTGTTATGTGAGTTCACAGTGGGACAACATATTTCTAAATCCCTATGGGGGTGTTCTAGAATAGATTAGATTGGGTAAACTTCTGACTTGCACACAATCGACTTTAGAGGAGTGAATTGTTTCCATAGCAACCATAGTTGGTAAATGTGGATTGTTTTTTGGCTGTGTCAGTCAGTCAACCTTGTCCTCCTTGGTGATGAAGCTGTGCATTTCTGCTGCTGATCTCACAATGACCAGATGGGGCTTATAGTGGACCCTCTCTGTATGACAAACCCCATCCATCCCCAGTGGGGATCAGTGTCAAGAACTCCTAATGTTGAGAGGCTCAAAACTGTGCTCAATGAATCCATCAACACCAGGTCAGCTGCTGTGTGTAGCCTAGATTCTCTCTACTTGGATAACAAAGTCACTGACACACCACCAGCAGTCAACCCTGCCCAAAAACCTTGGACCAAGGGGCAGGCTTAAACAATGGTGTTTGTTCCACTCTTTCAGGCATTTTCCACGTTAAAGGGCCAACAGAGGGAAACACATAATGGGGGGAAATACTGGATTACGTGATAGGGAAGTGGGGACATTCCCTGATGTCACCGATGCGAGCAGCTTTCTAGTCACTTTCCTGTGGAAGCCCATGTGCTGTGCTGGCATGACTTAAGGGCACCGGCACCATAGAAACAAAATTAGTACAATGCCACTCCAACTTCCAGGTGACTGATGATGACGGATGGTACTTTAAATCCTATAGTTTGACAACCCTGTTTGTAAGCTTTCAAATTATATCAAAATGGGTCAGATATGCAAAATGGGTCCGGTCAACTTTGAGAATCTCCATCTCCTGAATGTGTTGGCCTTGAGGTCCAAAAAGTCACTTCCATTCCACTTCTCCCAGGGCTAAACATTAATGGAAGGTTTTGGGCAATTGATAAAGTCAAACTCCTATTCTTAAAATCTGATTTTAAACCGAAGCCAAACTACATATTTTGCCTGTGCCCCTTGCCCATCTAGTGAGAACCAATTATTTATATTTGGTAGGAACCAAGGTTTCGTTCAAATAAAAAGTGGTGGGGTCAAAAAGTGATTGAATTCATAAGTCAGTTTTAAAGTAAAAACTAACTAGCTTTGTAGAAACGTTTTTACTCTGTGACAAAAGATCGCTTGACACAGAAAATTTGTGGTTATTAGTTGACTCTGAATTTAGACTGCATGAATGACAGCGGGGTTATCTTTCCTTCTGAAACCTGCTCGCCCTTCGTCAGTCACCGACGCAGGGCAGGGCTGAAGTCAGACAGACAGATCTTGAGGTAACTAAAAATATACCCTAACAAATACTCCCGACCAAATATGTTAGTTCTCTAGTTAGGAAGCTAGCGCGTAAGTATGCACTTAGCTAGTTATGCTAGTAACAGTTTACTAGGACTAGGTAGTGGGATAACTAACTAGCTAACAAACTTAAACATTGTTAGCTAACTAAATCATTAGCTACCTAACGAAATATGTAGCTATCTACGTGGACCCATAACAAGTAACGTTAACTAGTTAGATCTAACTAGCTACGCTAGTTACCGACCGTACTGCTATGTCAACCTTAGTTCGTTAGCAAACTAACGTTAATTTAGCTGTTTCCTACGCGACCGTCGAGCTGGTTGGATAGTGTCTAACGCTAGCTAGCTTGCTTCTGGTAACGTTACATTGACAAACTTTCTTACAGTTGCTGTAAAGTTTTAAAACCAAAGTTCCAAATGAACAAAATAGGTATTAGATATAGCTACACATGCTATCACTTTACCTTGAAGAGTTCTGCTCCTCTTGAGAGACGCGAATAAATGAGCTGTATATAGCTGGCTAACCTTTTACCCGTTTTATTTTCTTACAACAGGAGCCGCAGCGCCAACGCACCCACCATCTCTTCCGGTATGCAAAATAGAAAACCTTCAAAATAATAGTTCTCATTTCAAGAAATGTCAATAACTGCAAAAAAAATAGGAATATATGTCCACTGATATTGTTCAGCAAAACGGCAGCCCTGCCACTTGTTTTGGTATACAGCTGAGGGATGAGGAAATGTAACCCCTGTCAAATTCAGAGAGTGCTCTGACACAGTCTGTGTTTAGTGGTCCTCTGTAGCTCAATTGGTAGAGCATGGCGCTTGTAATGCCAGGGTAGTGGGTTCGATCCCCGGGACCACCCATTCGTAAAAATGTATGCACACGACTGTAAGTCGCTTTGGATAAAAGCGTCCGCTAAATGGCATATTATTATTATATTATAGTGTGGGAATCTGTCTAATGCACACAGGTGACCCCTAAAAATAGAGATTTAGACAAATCCCCCATTGTTTAATTGGATTTATTACATGCAGAGACATTTGAGCCACCAGGAAGTATTAATGCATTTAAAAACCCAAAACATTGCATGTTATAATTCCTATATTTCATGACGTATAGCATTCAGTAAATGTATAAAAAAAATTGCAGCTCCCTGTATGCAACAAAGAATGAGGGTAAAAGGATGACATGAAATGCATAACCAAATAGCGTCAAAAGTACATCAAAATACGTTATTATTTTAATGTAACAGTGTATATTTCATTGTGTACTAAAACCATCTGTAAGACAAAGGCAGCAGCACCATATTACTATATTTAAACCATGGTTCAGTCTTCTATACAAAAAAGCCCACATCATTAAAGGCAAAACCTAATGGTGACTGTTAAATGGTTAATTCACCCAAATTACAAAATTACATATTGGTTTCCTTTGGGTGAACCATCCCTTTAACAACTCTGGGGGACCACAGTGAGGTGGGATGTATGGTACTGTATATAAGAAATGAATAAAGATACTCTATGGGTTATTACATCATGTTCACATCATATTCACTTTCTTACAGCATACACACTTTCAGAATGGTTCAGTCTGTGGTAGCTCAGTAGCCACTTCAGCTTTAGTCTCTTGTATGCCAACTGCTGGAGGTGACCACACACTGTGCCCAGAATGGGATTATCTTAAACACACAGGCAGACCAGGGGTGTGCTGGTGTGTGTCTCAAATGGCACCCTATTCCCTATATAGTGCACTACTTCTGACCATGGCCCACAGGTAATAGGGTGCCCTTTGGGACGCAACCCTGGTTTCGAGGTCACCCCTCCAAGGTCACACCACAGGAAAACGTGTTGGCATGGCAATGTTGTCAACAACACAAAATTAAAGGTCATTTAACGTTTGAAGAGTTGACCTCATCACTTTATATCCAGATATTTAACTGTAAAGGCATTGCTTTATCCCAAAGTTTAACTTATGAGTAACAACTCAAATGTAAAGTCGTACAACCAAACATTGAACAAGTCTCTCAATTTTGTAAAAGTACTTCCAATACATTGACTGTCCTATGCATACTGTATCTTTATACACTTTATAGCCTACTCCAGTGGCTTGAAAAGCAAATGCTTCAAAGCTCACTTTCCAGTCTTACTTTCGTTTGTTGTTAGCATTGTCCATTACACTATGTTTTATACCGTCAACAAATAGCAAATGCTTTTTCGGGTCATACATTTCAAAATAAAGAGGTGAAACCTTTCGGTTTTCAGACATGAACCGAATAATTTCACACATCAATGTGTCTCAACCTAGCAAATATTCTGCTTGAAAACATAAAAAACATTAAAGTAAAACAATTCCACAACAATATATGTAAACATTATTCAAACATGTGCATTGATTGAAATCCTCTAACAGTCTTCTGAGAATGTCCCCTTCCCAATGCTATATAAAAGGTTGATAAATGCTAGTATTTAGTGTATTATACAGAGCTTCTGCTAAACGTGGGTGTGTGGGACCTCTTCTTTACTGACTGCAAAACACACACGTGTCCTTGCTTGTGATGCATGGCAGGGTCCTCAGAGTTGACTGGGTCCTCTCCCTCCCTCCCTGCCATCCTTCCATCCCTCTGTCGGTGTAGTCCCTTGCCCCAGACCCCCTTTCCCCCATGAATGACACAGGAAGAGCAACGAGAGGTCAGTGAAGGGACAGTGAGGCGTTGGACATTGCCACCTCACTTCCAGGTGGCGGCAGCTGGGCGTGGCCCGGTGCCCCCCTTCGCCGTTCCCTTTGACCCCAGCGACTGACCCGAGCGACTCCGTAGGTCGCGTTCTGCATTCTCGCTCAGTGCCTGCTCCTCATCGTACCTGAGGAAGGGAGAGATAGAGAGAGGCAGGGAGGGAAGGGAAGAAAGAGAGAGGATAGAGAGAGGGAGTACACGCTTAGAAAAAAAGGGTTATTCGGCTGTCCCCATAGGAGAACCGTTTATGATTCCAGCTAGAACCCTTTTTGGTTCCAGGTAAAACTCTTTTGGGTTTCATGTAGAACCCTATGTGGAAAGGGTTTTACATGGAACTCAAAAGGGTTGTACCTGGAACGGAAAAGGGTTCTTCAAAACGTTCTCCTATGGTGACAGCCGAAGAACCGTTTTAGGTTCTAGATACCACCTTTTTTTCTAAGAGTGTATGTGTAAGATACAGTACTGTAAACACACGACAAAACAACAAACGAAACGTGAAGTCCAAGGTAGCATACAAACAACATACCTTACACGGAACAAGATCCCACAACCCACTAGTGCCAACAGGCTACCTAAGTATGGTCCCCAATCAGAGACAACGAGCTACAGCTGCCTCTGATTGGGAACCACCCTGGCCAACATAGATCTAAACGATCTAGAAACTAAACATAGAAAACACTACATAGAAACTACACACCCTGGCTCAACATTTAAGAGTCCCCAGAGCCAGGGCGTGACAGTACCCCCCCCCAAAGGTGCGGACTCCGACCGTGCAACCTAAACATAACAGGGTAGGGGCCGGGTGGGCATTCCGCCTCGGAGGCGGATCCGGCTCCGGGCGTGACCACCACCTATTATCCGCCTCCCTGTTGCGCCCCTGGTCTGGTCTGGAACCGCTGACTGGAGCTGGACCCGACGACGGTGGATCGAACTGCTCTGGCTCCGGAGTGGAGCCGCTGACCGGAGCTGGATCAGGCACCGGTGGAGCGGACTGCTCTGGCTCCGGAGTGGAGCCGCTGACCGGAGCTGGACTGGACCCCGGTGGAGCGGATTGCTCTGGCTCCGGAGTGGAGCAGCTGACCGGTGCCGGACCAGGCACCGGTGGAACAGGCACGGGCCGTGCCGGACTGGACACACGCACCACTGGCTTGGTGCGGGGAGTAGGAACGGGCCGAACCTGGCTGATGACGCGCACCCCTGGCTTGGTGCGGGGAGCAGGAATGGGCCGGACTGGGCTGACGACGCGCACCACTGGCTTAGTGCGGGGAGCAGGAACGGGCCGTACCAGACTGGCGACGCGCACCACTGGCCTGGTGCGGGGAGCAGGAACAGGCCGGGCCGGGCCGGGCTGGCGACGCGCACCACTGGCTTGGTGCGAGGGACAGGCACAGGTCGGACCGGGCTGGCGACGCGCACCACTGGCTTGGTGCGAGGGGCAGGAACAGGCCGGGCCGGGCTGGCGACGCGCACCACTGACTTGGTGCGAGGGACAGGAACAGGTCGGACCGGGCTGGCGACGCGCACCACTGGCTTGGTGCGAGGGGCAGGAACAGGCCGGGCCGGGCTGGCGACGCGCACCACTGACTTGGTGCGAGGGACAGGAACAGGCCGGACCGGGCTGGCGACGCGCACCACTGGCTTGATGCGAGGAGCAGGAACGGGCCGAACCGTACTGGGAACACACACCACTGGCTTAGTGCGGGAAGCAAGAACGGGCCGGACCGGACTGGCGACACGCACCACTTGATTGGTGCGAGGAGCGGGACTGGGTTCCTTCATTAACCCCTGATCCTTCTGCTGCCTAACCAGCTCCTCTCGCCGTGCCTCTACACTTTCCTTCTGCTCCCTCTGAACCAATGACCCCCCTAATCTGGTGGCCTCCTCTGCTAAACAGCGGAACCGCTCTATCGCGGCCTCCTGCTGCCTCATCGTCCACGGCGTGAGCCCCCCCCTAAACATTTTTGGGCTACAGTGGGGTCTGAAATGATTGACACCCTTGATAAAGATGAGCAGAAATAGAGCTCTTTGTCCACGCACACCAGTGGTGGGTTTGGCGTCAAAATGAGAATGCATCAGCAGAAAAGAACCTGTCCCTACTGTAAAATTTGGTGGTGTATCTTATGGGACTATTTTGCTTCCACTGGTCCTGGGACCCTTGTTAAAGTCAACGGCATCATGAACTTTACCCAGGATCAGGATATTTTTGCCTAAAACCTGATTGCCTCTTCCAGGAGGCTGAAACTTGGCCGCAAAGAAATCCACAAAGAAATGTTAATTGGCCCAAAAATCAAAATTTTGCAATGGCCATCTCAGTCTCCGGACTAGAAACATATTGAAAACCTGTGGTTTGAATTGAAGAGGGCAGTCCATAAGCGCAGACGAATCAAAGATCTGTTAGGATTCTGTCCGTGGAGGCTGCTGAGGGGAGGATGGCTCATAATAATGTCTGGAACGGAGCAAATGGAAACCATGTGTTTGATGTATTTGATGCCATTTCACTCATTCCGCTACAGCCATTACCAAGAGGCCCGTCCTCCCCAATTAAGGTGCCACCAACCTCCTGTGGATTATGTATGGAGGAATGGTCTACGATCCTTCCCAAAGTGTTCTCCAACCCATAAAAAAAGTAAGGATGCCAGATATAGGAAATATAAAGACAATATAGTGATAACATCCCAACAAAAATGTGTGCACAACTCTGAGGTAAAAGCCTGTGTGTTGTCATTCTGATCACTCAGATAGCTAGCAGCAATGACTAGAAGCTGCTATGCGGTGAATCGTGGATGACTTGTTTCAGGTCATCTGATCCTAAATCAGTTCCCGGTTAGAGGTATTTTCTCTAACCGTTAATCCTGGTTTTATGGACCAATAGTCCCAAAACTGCAAACCCCGCCCATCTGGCACTCACTCCAGTGGGGCTAGAGCAAACGCTCAAAGTATTTGAACATTTTTAAATAGTTTTTATTTTTACCCTGGGCCACGTTCAGTAGCCAAACGTTGTCGAACGTTGCAGATAGAAATGCCATGATTAGATCTGACTTGATTCCTTATTCTACATGTCAGAGAAGCATGTTTGTTCTACATAGCATATTTCTATCTAAACATTCCGAAACGCTGCATCCTGCTGAACACGCCCCAGGCCCGTTTTCTCCCTTGAGCGTTGTGATAGGAGGAGGGGGCTGTCACTCACAGGACTTGGTAGTTGCCCAGGGCATCTCGGGGTGGGCTGCGGTTCCAGCGGCAGTCGGGAATGTCCCTGTTGGGTGTGACGATGTTGAGCGTGTCATTGATCAGATTGTACTTCAGGATCCGGTCGTTGGCCGTGCTGGAGGTGAGCGACGGAGAGGCGTTGACCTGGAGGACAGACGGGGAATAGACAAACAGACACACACAGCAGAGAGCACAGGTCAGGATAAGCATTAGTCATTACTTACAGTTGAAGTCGGAAGTTTAGCCAAATACATTTAAACTCAGTTTTTCACAATTCCTGACATTTAATCCTAGTAAAAATTCCCTGTCTGAGGTCAGTTAGGATCACCACTTTATTTAAAGAATGTGAAATGTCAGAATAATAGTAGAGAGATGATTTATTTCAGCTTTTATTTCTTTCATCACATTCGCAGTGGGTCAGAAGTTTACATACACTCAATTAGTATTTGGTAGCATTGCCTTTCAATTGTTTAACTTGGGTCAAACGTTTCGGGTAGCCTTCCACAAGCTTCCTACAATAAGTTGGGTGAATTGTGGCCCATTCCTCCTGACACAGCTGGTGTAACTGAGTCAGGTTTGTAGGCCTCCTTGCTCGCACACGCTTTTCAGTTCTACCCACACATTTTCTATAGGATTGAGGTTTGTGATGGCTGTTCCAATGCCTTGACTTTTTGTCCTTAAGCCATTGTCCATTTGGAAGACCCATTTGCGACCAAGCTCTAACTTCCTGACTGATGTCTTGAGATGTTGCTTCAATATATCCACATAATTTTCCTTCCTCATGATGCCATCTATTTTGATAAGTGCACCAGTCCCTCCTGCAGCAAAGCACCCCCACAACATGATGCTGCCACCCCCGTGCTTCACGGTTGGGATGTTGTTCTTCGGCTTGCAAGCACCCCCCTTTTTCCTCCAAACATAACGATGGTCATTATGGCCAAACAGTTCTAGTTTTGTTTCATCAGACCAGAAGACATTTCTCCAAAAAGTACGATCTTTGTCCCCATGTGCAGTTGCAAACCGTAGTCTGGCTTTTTTATGGCGGTTTTGGAGCAGTGGCTTCTTCCTTGCTGAGCAGCCTTTCAGGTTATGTCGATATAGGACTTGTTTTACTGTGGATATAGATATTTTTGTACATGTTTCCTCCAGCTAATTCACAAGGTCCTTTGCTGTTGTTCTGGGATTTATTTGCACTTTTCGCACCAAAGTACGTTAATCTCTAGGAGACAGAACGCGTCTCCTTCCTGAGCAGTATGACGGCTGCGTGGTCCCATGGTGTTTATACTTGCGTACTATTGTTTGTACAGATGAACGTGGTACCTTCAGGCATTTGGAAATTGCTCCCAAGGATGAACCAGACTTGTGGAGGTCTACAATTTATTTTCTGAGGTCTTTTGATTTTCCCATGATGTCAAGCAAAGAGGCACTGAGTTTGAAGGTAGGCCTTGAAATACATCCACAGGTGCACCTCCAATTGACTCAAATTATGTCAATTAGCCTATCAGAAGCTTCTAATGTCACGGTTTCGGCCGAGGCTGCTCCTCCTCCTTGTTCGGGCAGGCTTCGGCGGTCGTCGTCTCCGGAGTACTAGCTGCCACCGTTCTTTGTTTTCGATGTTTGTTTGGTTTGGTCTGTTTGGTACACCTGTTCATGTTTAGTGTTGATTATGTGTCCTATAAGTTCTCGTTGTTTCTGTCATGTGTTGTGTGTAATTGGTTTCACCTGTCTGTTGGTGCTGTTCACTTTTTGCCAGTCGCTAGTGTGTACCGTCGCACTGTTGTTTTCGTGCGCAGTCGGTTTTGTGTTTTACGCACTGTTGCGTATTGTTCGCCTCCGGGTTGGTTAGACCCGTTTGTTATTTTGTCTTTTCAAGTAAAGACTGGTTTGACTTAGCTCCTGTGTCCTGCACTTGATTCCGCACCACATCCGCATCAGATACCCTGACATCTAAAGCCATGACATCATTTTCTGGAATTTTCCAAGCTGTTTAAAGGCACAGTCAACTTAGTGCATGTAAACTTCTGACCCACTGGAATTGTGATACAGTGAATTATAAGTGAAATAATCTGTCTGTAAACAATTGTTGGAAAACTGACTTGTGTCATGCACAAAGTAGATGTCCTAACCAACTTGCCAAAACTATAGTTTGTTAACAAAACATTTGTGGAGTGGTTGAAAAACGAGTTTTAATGACTCCAACCTAAGTGTATGTAAACTTCCGACTTCAACTGTATATACGCGCCAGCACGGAAAGTTCTGTCCTGAGTATGAGTAGAGTACAAAGTACTGGAGACTAGTAACAGGCAGGAATGACCTCACTATTTCACTGTTTTCATTTCCTCTCTATCCCCATAGGGGCTGGGAGCTGCTTATCAGGCAGGAAATGTACCACACTGCCAATGTATTAGCAGCAGCGGTGGGTGTGGGTTGTAAATATACTGGCACACACACCCACACACACTACCTAAGAGAGAGAAAAGGAGAGACCAATCACAGAAAGACTCTCACAAACACACACACACACACACACACACATACAAACACACACACACACACATACACACACAAAGCTCGGTTGGTATCTCTCCCTTGTTTCCCAGTGGAGATGCCAGCCCTTGCAGACTGAGAGACTGTTGCAGGTTGGTTCCCAGCTGTTCTTCTACATTACACATTAATGAGAGCTTGGCATTGGCATGCAGGCTATTCTGCCCCAGGTGGATGTACCAGAGGATCTCACAGCAGGGGGTCTGATCTTAGATATAATAATATAATATGCCATTTAGCAGAAGCTTTTATCCTAAGCGACTTACAGTCATGCGTGCATACATTTTTTTTGTGTGTGTATGGGTGGTCCCGGGGTCGAACCCACTACCCTGGCGTTACAAGCGCGTTACAAGCAGTCCTACACACAGGGCCGCTTTGTGAACACGGGAACAGGGAAACTTCAACGATCTACCAAAATAGATCAGTTATTATTCCTATTCAAGTCAAAAGTGTAATTATTCTAGTAACCTCTGAGAATCTTTGACTTCATGTACTCAGCCAAACATTTACAGTGAGAAACCAATGACAAAGTAAATGACTCACTATGCAAACAATGGCAGATAGAGAAGATTGAAGGTGTTTACAAAGTCATAACAACAGACATGTCCTAACAATTATTTAATTGTGTCATCCCTAAATCCTAAAAACATACACAACTGCTATTGAACCAGAGTACTGTCTGTACATCACCTTGAGCAGGTTTTAATCAAACACACACACACACCTCAGACACATACACACACTGTCACGACTTTCCTCCGAAGCTGCCTCCCCTCCTTGTTCAGGCAGGCTTCGGCGTTCGTCGTCACCGGCCTTCTAGCCACTGCCGCTCCATATCTCATCATTCCATTTGTCTTGTCTTGTTTATTACACACACCTGGTTCATATTCCCCTCATTAGTACGTGTTTAAGTGTTCCCTCTGCCCCCTTGTCCTTGTGGGTGGTTGTTCATTGTGAGGATTAGTAGCTCGGTTGAGCTCAGTATTTTGTATTGCCGGGGTATTTTCCCCGTGTGCATGTTTGTTCCAGAGTGCCTGTTTTGCGCACTGGACTGGTTACGCTGGATTACGGAATAAACTCTGTATACTGTGATTTACCCTCCTGCGCCTGACTCCTTCAAATCACACATCACACACACACACCTCAGACACAAACACACACACACACCTCAGACACAACACACACCTCAGACACATACACACATATACAGTACAAACGCCCACACACAGAGAGAGAGAAAAGTCAACCCTAAGGACATTAAACTTGGTAGATACTGCAGAGAAAGGAACGCAGCACTGGTTTCACTTCACAAACAATGCAGAACAAAGAAATCATTTCGACACGAGGTCATCTTAGTAGGAACTAGAATTAGCGAGTAAAACTACTGTATGTTCACAATAAGATACTTTTTTACTTCATGTAATTACAGTGCGTGTGTAAAGGCATGCTAAGTCCCTTAGGCGCCTCACCTCAATAAGCCATGGCTTCAGCTTGTCATCGATGATGATGTCATATCCATAACACTCAAAGCAATGTTTATCATTGTTCATGACGGGCTGTGATGAGAGAGAGAGTGTGTGTTTAGAGGGAAAAAATAAGTTAGTGCGTTGAGTGTGTGGGACAGGACAGAAAAAGAGAAGAGGTTAGCGGTCAGAGCAGCTGCAACACTGCAGGGATCAAATGGGGAACATGTTTTGGTTTCAGTATGTGTGTGTGTGTTTGGGTGAGACCACTCACTGCGACAGCCTTTAGGGACTGCACCATGATCCAGTGGATCTGGTCAAACAGTCGGCTGGTCACCTCCTTCCCCCTGGTGCTCTCCAGGTACAGACGCAGGTTACTGACCGTCCACTTCCCACCGTGGACGTGGTTATAGTCATCCTGCAACGTGTATAGATGTATTGTACACACATAGAACTATACATATAAACACATGTATTCATGTAGGATCCATTTCTGCCTGTTTTAGGCCCATTTAGTGTGTTGTGTATATGTTGTCTGTCTTGACAACACACGCACACACACTTACCCCATGTCTCTGAATGGCCACATTAGTCAGGTGCACAAACATGTTGTCCAGTTCACTAGTGCTGGGGGTGTACTTCACTGTGCAAAACCTGCAGAAACCCAGTTTATACCTGCAAGCAACACAAAGGTCCAAATGGACCAAATTGTCAAATACTGATCTGATCAAATCCTGAAGTTATCATTTATCCCAGTGGCAATATCCTTTATAAAAGTTTTACAGAATTATGAGAATGTATATGCATACTGCACTGTTTATAATGACTGTATTTACATTATGTATATGCATACTGCACTGTTTATAATGACTGTATTTGCATTATATGTAACAGATTGTCTATGTTTCTGTTAGTAAAGGGACAGTTAAGTTATTATCTATCTATTACCTATCACCTATCCAGTCATTTCAGAGGGGTAGGCCTTGAGGGAAATGAAACCGGGATGTAGACTTTAGGTTAATCATAAACCTACATGTAACACTTGAGAGGTCGATAGGTGGTAACCAACACATAGAGACGTAGGTCAAACTTCTTGCCTCCGATCAGCAGTGGGTTGTCGATGTACAGAGAGATGACATAGGCCTCCTTGCCACTAGAGGCCGCTACAAACCTAGCAAAAACAAAGGAAACAGAGCATCAGTCATTTATCTATGGACAACTCATCTACGGACAATGCTGTTGAGAACAGCAGATTCAAGAGTAGTGGGGTAATACTACCTGTATGACCTAAGACTGACTGTGAACAATGCAAATGCAAGCAAAGACCCACCTCTGGCAGCCACACACAGGACATTTCTATCGGTAGTTAGTAGAGGTGTGTGTATGTGTGTGTGTGTGTGTGTGTGTCAGCACTGACTCACGTGGAGGTGCGGCTGTCTCTGGACCACTTCTTGATCTGGGACAGTTTGTTGATAAGAAAGATGCCTTTTCCCTGAGCCTTCCCACACGGCTTCATTATCCACGTGCTGGAAGGACTCTTACGGAACTCCTCCACAAACAGATTATAATCGGCCGGAAGCATGAAAGTCACCGGCACAAAGTCTGGGACACAACCAGAGAGGGAGTATGAAAACACAGAGAAATATGATAGGACAGTATTGATGACATTTGTTTAACAGCACAAAATGATGAGTGAGTTTAGCTCTTATAGCCCAAGACCCTGAAAAAGGGACGCACTAACACTTCTAGTCAGAGCCCCTTGCAGCAGGTGCAATTGAAATTTACATCCACATTTATTTACATATACTGCAAGTAAGCAGTGGGAAAGCTCATAACTGCTACCTAAATAAAGGTATTTCCCGTTTTCGTCTTTCTCGGCCAGCGGGCTTCCCTCTTTCTCCATATCTTTGCGGTAGCGTTTGATGTTCTTGATCATCAGGTCCTTCCTGGTCAGCTCGTAGTGGTTGGGGAAGTGGTTGACCATCTGCTCGTCTGAGAGACGGTAACCCGTGTCCACACTGAACACATTCCGGATGGTCTGGACACTCATCCTATAGTGAGACGTAGACAGATCATAAACAGGGTTTCCCCAAGGCTGATGGAGATTCGCAGGGGGGGGGGGGGTAGTCAGTCAGGGATCTGATTTTTGTGATTAATCAGGAATTTCTGTTTTTCTCAATGACATTACAGTGGGGGAAAAAAAGTATTTAGTCAGCCACCAATTGTGCAAGTTCTCCCACTTAAAAAGATGAGAGAGGCCTGTGAGGGCTCCTGAGTGGCGCAGTGGTCTAAGGCACTGCATCGCAGTGCTAACTGTGCCACTAGAGATCCTGGTTCGAATCCAGGCTCTGTCGCAGCCGGCCGCGACCGGGAGACTCATGGGCGACGCACAATTGGCCCAGCGTTGTCCAGGGTAGGGGAGGGAATGGCCGGCAGGGATGTAGCTCAGTTGATAGAGCATGGCGTTTGCAACGCCAGGGTTGTGGGTTCGATTCCCACGGGGGGCCAGTATAAAAAAAATATGTATTCACTAACTGTAAGTCGCTCTGGATAAGAGCGTCTGCTAAATGACTAAAATGTAATGTAAATGTAATTTTCAACTATGACAGACAAAATTAGAAAAAAAAATCCAGAAAATCACATTGTAGGATTTTTAATGAATTTATTTGCAAATTATGGTGGAAAATAAGTATTTGGTCAATAACAAAAGTTTCTCAATACTTTGTTATATACCCTTTGTTGGCAATGACACAGGTCAAACGTTTTCTGTAAGTCTTCACAAGGTTTTCACACACTGTTGCTGGTATTTTGGCCCATTCCTCCACGCAGATCTCCTCTAGAGCAGTGATGTTTTGGGGCTGTCGCTGGGCAACACGGACTTTGAACTCCCTCCAAAGATTTTCTATGGGGTTGAGATCTGGAGACTGGCTAGGCCACTCCAGGACCTTGAAATGCTTCTTACGAAGCCACTCCTTCGTTGCCTGGGCGGTGTGTTTGGGATCATTGTCATGCTGAAAGACCCAGCCACGTTTCATCTTCAATGCCCTTGCTGATGGAAGGAGGTTTTCACTCAAAATCTCACGATAGATGGCCCCATTCATTCTTTCCTTTACACGAATCAGTCGTCCTGGTCCCTTTGCAGAAAAACAGCCCCAAAGCATGATGTTTCCACCCCCATGCTTCACAGTAGGTATGGTGTTCTTTGGATGCAACTCAGCATTTTTTATTTTATTTTATTTTTTATTTCACCTTTATTTAACCAGGTAAGCCAGTTGAGAACAAGTTCTCATTTACAACTGCGACCTGGCCAAGATAAAGCAAAGCAGTGCGATAAAAACAACACAGAGTTACATATGGGGTAAAAAACATAAAGTCAAAAATACAACAGAAAATATATATACAGTGTGTGCAAATGTAGCAAGTTATGGAGGTAAGGCAATAAATAGGCTATAGTGCAAAATAATTACAATAGTATTAACACTGGAATGCTAGATGTGCAAGAGATTATGTGCAAATAGAGATACTGGGGTGCAAAAGAGCAAAATAAATAACAATATAGGGATGAGGTAGTTGGGTGGGCTAATTTCAGATGGGCTGTGTACAGGTGCAGTGATCGGTAAGGTGCTCTGACAACTGATGCTTAAAGTTAGTGAGGGAGATAAGAGTCTCCAGCTTCAGAGATTTTTGCAATTCGTTCCAGTCATTGGCAGCAGAGAACTGGAAGGAATGGCGGCCAAAGGAGGTGTTGGCTTTGGGAATGACCAGTGAGATATACCTGCTGGAGCGCAGACTACGGGTGGGTGCTGCTATGGTGACCAATGAGCTAAGATAAGGCGGGGATTTGCCTAGCAGTGATTTATAGATGGCCTGGAGCCAGTGGGTTTGACGACGAACATGTAGTGAGGACCAGCCAACAAGAGCGTACAGGTCACAGTGGTGGGTGGCGTATGGGGCTTTGGAGACAAAACGGATGGCACTGTGATAGACTACATCCAATTTGCTGAGTAGAGTGTTGGAGGCTATTTTGTAAATGACATCGCCGAAGTCAAGGATCGGTAGGATAGTCAGTTTTACGAGGGCATGTTTGGCAGCATGAGTGAAGGAGGCTTTGTTGCGAAATAGGAAGCCGATTCTAGATTTAACTTTGGATTGGAGATTCTTTATGTGAGTCTGGAAGGAGAGTTTACAGTCTAACCAGACACCTAGGTATTTGTAGTTGTCCACATACTCTAGGTCAGACCCGTCAAGAGTGGTGATTCTAGTCGGGTGGGCGGGTGCCAGCAGCGTTCGATTGAAAAGCATGCATTTAGTTTTACTAGTGTTTAAGAGCAGTTGGAGGCTACTGAAGGAGTGTTGTATGGCATTGAAGCTCGTTTGGAGGTTTGTTAACACAGTGTCCAATGAAGGGCCAGATGTATACAAAATGGTGTCGTCTGCGTAGAGGTGGATCTGAAAGTCACCAGCAGCAAGAGCGACATCATTGATATACACTGAGAAAAGTGTCGGCCCAAGAATTGAACCCTGTGGCACCCCCATAGAGACTGCCATAGGTCCAGACAACAGGCCCTCTGATTTGACACACTGAACTCTATCTGAGAAGTAGTTGGTGAACCAGGCGAGGCAGTCATTTGAGAAACCAAGGCTATTTAGTCTGCCAATAAGAATGCGGTGGTTGACAGAGTCGAAAGCCTTGGCCAGGTCGATGAAGACGGCTGCACAGTACTGTCTATTATCAATCGCGGTTATAATATCGTTTAGGACCTTGAGCGTGGCTGAAGTGCACCCATGACCAGCTCGGAAACTGGATTGCATAGCGGAGAAGGTACGGTGGTATTCGAAATGGTCGGTGATCTGTTTGTTAACTTGGCTTTCAAATACTTTCGAAAGGCAGGGCAGGATGGATATAGGTCTGTAGCAGTTTGGATCTAGAGTGTCACCCCCTTTGAAGAGGGGGATGACCGCGGCAGCTTTCCAATCTCTGGGGATCTCAGACGTTATGAAAGAGAGGTTGAACAGACTAGTAATAGGGGTTGCGACAATTTCGGCGGCTAGTTTTAGAAAGAAAGGGTCCAGATTGTCTAGCCCAGCTGATTTGTAGGGGTCCAGATTTTGCAGCTCTTTCAAAACGTCAGCTGTCTGAATTTGTGTGAAGGAGAAGCGGGGGGGGCATGGGCAAGTTTCAGCGGAGGGTGCAGAGTTGGTGGCCGGGGTAGTGGTAGCCAGATGGAAAGCATGGCCAGCTGTAGCAAAATGCTTGTTGAAATTCTCGATTATTGTAGATTTATCGGTGGTGATAGTGTTTCCTAGCCTCAGTGCAGTGGGCAACTGGGAGGAAGTGCTCTTATTCTCCATGGACTTTACAATGTCCCAAAACTTTTTGGAGTTAGTGCTACAGGATGCAAATTTCTGTTTGAAAAAGTCTGCCTTTGCTTTCCTGACTGCTTGTGTATATTGGTTCCTAACTTCCCTGAAAAGTTGCATATCGTGGGGGCTATTTGATGCTAATGCAGTACGCCACAGGATGTTTTTGTGCTGGTCAAGGGCAGTCAAGTCTGAGGAGAACCAGGGGCTATATCGGTTCTTAGTTCTGTATTTTTTGAATGGGGCATGTTTATTTAAGATTGAGAGGAAATTACTTTTAAGGAACAACCAGGCATCCTCTACTGACGGAATGAGATCTATATCCATCCAGGATACCTGGGCCAGGTCAATTAGGAAGGCCTGCTCGCTAAAGTGTTTTAGGGAGCGTTTGACAGTGATGAGGGGTGGTCGTTTGACCGCGGACCCGTTACGGACGCAGGCAATAAGGCAGTGATCGCTGAGATCCTGGTTGAAGACAGCTGAGGTGTATTTAGAGGGTATGTTAGTCAGGATGATATATATGAGGGTACCCATGTTTACGGATTTAGGGTTGTACCTGGTAGGTTCGTTGATAATTTGCGTGAGGTTGAGGGCATCTAGTTTGGATTGTAGGATGGCCGGGGTATTAAGCATATCCCAATTTAGGTCACCAAGCAGTACGAACTCTGAGGATAAATGGGGGGCAATCAATTCACATATGGTGTCCAGGGCACATCTGGGGGCTGAGGGGGGTCTGTAGCAAGCGGCAACAGTGAGAGACTTATTTCTGGAAAGGTGGATTCTTAGAAGTAGAAGCTCAAACTGTTTGGGCACAGACCTGGATAGTATGATAGAGCTCTGCAGGCTATCTCTACAGTAGATTGCAACTCCACCCCCTTTGGCAGTTCTATCTAGACGGAAAATGTTATAGTTGGGGATGGAAATTTCAGAATTTTTGGTGGCCTTCCTGAGCCAGGATTCAGACACTGCTAGAACATCAGGGTTGGCGGAGTGTGCTAACGCAGTGAATAACTCAAACTTAGGAAGTAGACTTCTGATGTTTACGTGCAAGAAACCAAGACTTTTGCGATTACAGAAGTCAGCAAATGATAGCGCCTGGGGAGTAGGAGTGATACTGAGGGCTGCAGGGCCTGGGTTAGCCTCTACATCACCAGAGGAACAGAGGAGGACTAGAATAAGGATACGGCTAAAGGCTTTAAGAACTGGTCTTCTAGTGCGTTGGGTACATAGAATAAAGGGGGCAGATTTCCGGGTGTTGTAGAAAAGATTCAGGGCATTATGTACAGACAAGGATATGGAAGGATATGAGTAAAGTGGGGGTAAACCTAAGCGTTGGGTAACAATGAAAGAGATAGTATCACTAGAGGCACCAATTGAGTCGGTCTCTGCGTGTATGGGGGGTGGGACAAAGGAGCTATCTAAGGCAGGTTTAGCTGGGCTGGGGGATCTACAGTGAAATAGTACAATTAGAAATAACCGAAACAACAATAAGCTAACCATGTTTGGGCTGAGGCTAAACATAAACAGGATGTAGTACCGTAAAAAGGAACAGTCCAGCAGACATCAGCTGTATAGCTGAGTTATCATAAGGTCCGGTGAACAGCAATAGGATAGTTCGGAGGCTGCTAAAGCACTAGCAGGTAAGAGGCCATGGCTAGCGGGCCGGGGCTAGCAGATGGAATCTTCGTGGTCGACGTCGTCGTAACCACATCAGACGATTTCGTCGGCAGACCAGTCGTGTAGGATCGGCGGGGCTCCGTGTCAACACTAGGTGGTCCCGTCCGGTTGACAGAGAGGTAGATAGCCGGGAGATGGGCCTAGCTCAGGATGATTAGCCAGACCACAGCGTCCATTTAGTTGAAGCTAGCTGGTAGCGATGAATCCGGAGTTAAAGGTCCAGTGATTCAGTGATTCCGGCAGAAAAACTGATATGTTCTGGGTCGATAACGCGCTGTGCAGACTGGCCGAATATCCGGTGATTAATATCCAGTGATTAAATTAATCCCGCAGAAAAAAATCCAATGTTGTGGGTGAAATACCGCTAACTGTGGCTAATAGCAAGTAGCTAGTTAGCTGGCTAGCTAGTTTCAACTGGAGATTCTATATAAAAGGTAAGTCAATAATAGAATCCGTTCCACATTGAGTGAGGCGGGTTGCAGGAAAGTATATTTTGTAGAAGGATGAAAAGTCTGATAGGGAAATATGTACGAAAAATACAAAAAAAACAGGGTATTTACAGGCTATTTACAGACACACGACAAAAACAGAACTGCACTACTTCGCCATCTTTGTCCTCCAAACACGACGAGTTTAGTTTTTACCAAAAAGTTATATTTTGGTTTCATCTGACCATATGACATTCTCCCAATCCTCTTCTGGATCATCCAAATGCACTCTAGCAAACTTCAGACGGGCCTGGACATGTACTGGCTTAAGCAGGGGGACACGTCTGGCACTGCAGGATTTGAGTCCCTGGCGGTGTAGTGTGTTACTGATGGTAGGCTTTGTTACTTTGGTCCCAGCTCTCTGCAGGTCATTCACTAGGTCCCCCCGTGTGGTTCTGGGATTTTTGCTCACCGTTCTTGTGATCATTTTGACCCCACGGGGTGAGATCTTGCGTGGAGCCCCAGATCGAGGGAGATTATCAGTGGTCTTGTATGTCTTCCATTTCCTAATAATTGCTCCCACAGTTGATTTCTTCAAACCAAGCTGCTTACCTATTGCAGATTCAGTCTTCCCAGCCTGGTGCAGGTCTACAATTGTGTTTCTGGTGTCCTTTGACAGCTCTTTGGTCTTGGCCATAGTGGAGTTTGGAGTGTGACTGTTTGAGGTTGTGGACAGGTGTCTTTTATACTGATAACAAGTTCAAACAGGTGCCATTAATACAGGTAACGAGTGGAGGACAGAGGAGCCTCTTAAAGAAGAAGTTACAGGTCTGTGAGAGCCAGAAATCTTGCTTGTTTGTAGGTGACCAAATACTTATTTTCCACCATAATTTGCAAATAAATAAATTAAAAATCCTACAATGTGATTTTCTGGAGAAAAGAAATCTCAATTTGTCTGTCATAGTTGACGTGTACCTATGATGAAAATTACAGGCCTCTCTCATCTTTTTAAGTGGGAGAACTTGCACAATTGGTGGCTGACTAAATACTTTTTTCCCCCACTGTATCTGTTATTCACAGTTACACATCATAGCAATTTGTCTACTTTACCCCTGAACCAATATCCTTTTTTAAAATGTATTTTTTTTTAAACTGTTTTTCTATGTTGTCCTGGGCTGTGTTCAGTAGGCACAAATAAAAGAAAAAGTAAAAAATAAAATAAAATGAGTGCTATTATTGGACAAGACCAGGTAGTAACGTGTGTTTGAAAGCATTCTTCTCCTGTTTTGTGCCCACTGAACACAACCCTGATATATGTCTGTGCTACACTGGCATTCATAAGCACCCACTGTGTATTGTCACGCAGAAAAAGCTCCATAGCGCCAATGACAGCCTACCAGTAGAAGTTCCAGTCCTCGCTCTCTGTGACCTGAGTCCATCCTCTCTTCTCAAAGTTGTTGATGAGTACGGATTTCTCAATGTCAGTCACCCATTTCACCTTATTAGCCATGGTTCCTCCTAGAGTCACACACACACACACGGAAACACACACAAATACAAGCACACACACACATGCATGCACAGATAAGCCCCGTGTAGCTCAGTTGGTAGAGCATGGCGCTTGCAACGCCAGGGTTGTGGGTTCCATTCCCACGGGGGGGCAGTATGAAATAAATAAATAAATAAATTTATGCACTCACTAACTGTAAGACGCTCTGGATAAGAGCGTCTGCTAAATGACTAAAATGTAAATAAGCTTGTCACGTGTAATAAACATAGGTATAACTAATAGTTTATTGTTTTGCCCATGATGAGCCCCTGCAGTTTGCTAGCTCGCAAAAACACTGAATTCATGTGCTATCACATTCACAACTATATTTTGGTAGCATTTTGGTGTACTGTAATGTATGGCACACAATCTTGTTATGTCAGATAGCTAGGTATCTATGTATCCTTCCACACCAAATAACAGCTTTAGCTAGCTACCTGGAAATCGATCTTCTAATCTTCTTGTCAAACAACCGGTCATCAGCCCCAGCTAGCTGGATCCACCCTGCCTGAGACACCTGCAAAGGATAATGATTTTCATCCAATCGTGATGTCTGGTTCAATCACCTTCAAGAGGAGCTTAATGCAAATTATAAAGGGTAAATCCTTAATTTATTGACTTGATCCATGTCTTCTGCTAAAAGGGTGAATGCTTGTTATCTCTTATCTTGATTTAAAGATCCACCCAGTCAGCTGGAAGATGAATACCGTGCTCTTCCGGGTGAATAACCTAGCAACCGACGACGCGTCGAACTGTCAAATATTTTACGCTCATTCCACCACAGGGTGGCGCTAAATGCACGTGAAACTTTTTGCATGCAGGGATATTTTTCACCACCGGTTGCCCTCTAGTGGTTGTTGAGAGAAACACACTCCTCAAGGACCTTCCTGGTATAACTGCCATAGGCGTGGCTGTTGAAATGATAATTGTGGCAGTTACTTGAAAACAACAAGATTAAAGGACGCTGCTGTAAGTACGACATTGTTTTACAACTGTGAAATATTCTAAACATTTTTATATTTAGGATATTGTACTATAATGCCCATATTATGTGCGTTACAGGGCGGCGTCTACTTTAATCTACAAAATAGGTAAGTTTGAAATGTGTGTTATTCTAAAATGCACCTGTTCCTTTGTTGTTAGACAAGGAATATTGTAGACAGTTATTGACTGCAGTACTGCTCTTCTCATTGATGTGAAACTCGATGAAAAAATATGAATAATGATAGGATCATTGTCATTGTTTAAATATTTTAAATTGAAATAGGGCAAATTGTACTGTATTTCTTGCTTGTGTGATCTTCAAAACGACCTTAGGTTTGTTTGGTGAAGAGGATGACATCACCTTATTTTGAAAAACCCCTGTCAGACATTGCCATCCACAAATAATATTTTCCCCCAATTGTTATGATTTGATCATACTGAAGGGCTAAGGCATATATTATGTTATTATTATTAATACAATTATTATTAATTGAATAGTTAAATAATTCAAAGTATCTTTATTACATATGTTTTACATTATTGTATTTATTTTTATTAGCCAATTATTTTAAAGACTAATGACAAATCCATGTTTTCATTGGATTGGTTTGAGACATTACATTTGTAAAGACATTATGTCATATTACAAAAACATATTTTGAGATGACAAAACAATGAAGCCATTATTTTGTGATGGTAGCCGTTTGGTTGATTTGAGTAATGGAAATCCACCATTTGCATTGCGACTACCTCTCCAACAGCACGTGAGCAGAGGGACAGAACAGCTTAGGGACAGGTGAGCAGAGCACTAAACTCTTGAGATTCCTAGTAAAAACTGACATGACATGCATTAATGTAGGTCACACACACGTGTTTATTTATCAATATTATGTATCGCAACACACACGCACGTTGAAACCTCATTGAGCCCATCCTGTGCAGTGAATCCTGAAGATGACATAATCTTTTCAGACTGAGGAAAGTTTGTGTGCACTGACCTGAATAATCTCCCCGGCAACACACTTCTGGGAACATGACCCGATATTTACACAGGTAGATAATTATGGGCGTTATCAAAGTTGTTATGACCATAGTCACACATACAGCTAGGTGCACTAACTCGCCTGTTACCACACTGAAAAAACAACTGTTGTCCTGACATGGATTCCACATCATTTAGGAGTGCAACACCCTGAAACTCATAACATGCGTGCTGCAAACTCTTTTCTTTATCAGAAAACAAAATGGTGGAGCACAGAAGAGAGCGAAGCTGTGCCATTTCCCTCCGGGCTGGACCTAGTGAGGTGGACAATGTCACCCTGTCTGATGTGAATCTCAGGTAAAGGCCACGTCACTCCAGTCCTGACCTCTGATCAGTTTACACAGATGATACAAAATAAGAAAGTTACATTTTACTAAAACGCTCTTATAAATCAAATCAAATTGTATTGGTCACATACACATCTTTAGCTGATGTGATCTCTTATAATGTCATAACAGACATTCAAAGGAGGTATTCGAATGCATCCCTCATTTCTTCCTCCATTGAAGTAGTCACTGATCTGAAATGACATTATGGGTGAAAGCAAAATGGTTTGAAAGTGGACACTTTGTTGCTACCCAATCACCTGATTACCTCAAGGAATAAAGAATGCATTTCTAATGGTTCATGAACATCGTTTCTGTCCGTCCATCCTATAGGATCCATGCCAGGGCTGCCCGGACTGTAGGTCGTCAGCTGGCAGAGATGGGTGACAGACTGGACCGTGAATGGGAAGAGAGACTCTCTAATCAGTGGCCTGTGCCACAAACTCTCCATGTGACAAGGCCTTCCCATGTCCTGAGTAGAAGCATCTACAGGTTAGAGGGCTCAAAGACCAGGATGTATTGTGCCAAACAACTAGTAAAATCAGTGCTTATTTTGCACATAAGAAATATTTAAATGACTAACATTAATTATGGTTAACAAAGATTTCACGTAACTCATTGTCAGGGGGATACGAGGACAGCTTTGGGACGTGAAGAGTTTGCCTGGCGTGGCCAAAGCCTGGTTGGCCTCCGCTGTCCACAGTCCGGCTACACAGAGAGCAGAGGCTTGGGTAACCTGGGTAAAAGCCACTAGCATACTACGTATACCTATCTACTTCTCTCACATCTCTTCATCTGCATTGGGGGTAGGGGCTAAGTGTCGATTTGGGATAAGTCTCTTACTACCACTTGTGTTGTCCCTTGCCCCTACACAGGTTTCCAGTATTCAACCTGCTAACTGCCCTGGTTGGGCCAAAGCAACGCTTGCCACTGTGGCACTGGTGGCCACGGTAACCATTTGCACTGCATTGTGGAAGGAGTAGAAAGGCTAACCGTTGCACTGAGGGGGCTGTGAGCTGGACTTCTGGCTACAATGTTTTGTTGGACAATTTCCTAATTGAGTGAGATTTTAAAACAATTTTTACTATAGACTTTGATTTAAGAAAAAGAAAGAAATACAGTGTGTTATTGGATTGATTGTGCTGGATCGCAGTTTTTATAGTCTTATCAACTAATGCATGTTTTAAAGACTGTTGCTGGTCTGCAGTCTTTTCTATGAAGATTGGGCCTGTTACTGGTTAATATACATTTAATTGTCACAACTATCTTATGTTGCTTTATTGCACCACTAAATGGAAGCTTGGAAATTATTTTTTAATGACTTGAGAAAAAATAAACTTGAGAAAAACCCAAACTGACTTTTGACTCTCATAAATACCAGATATTTATTAATTGGTGCAAGGTCACTTGAATGAGTTCATATGGACAAAGAGTCATTTCTGTCACACTGAAGGAAGTATACTGTAGGTAATGTGTGTGTTGTGTGTCAATGTCTTTAAATCCCCTTAGTACTGTTTTACTCCTTTTGGGTGGTTTTCAACAGGTGTATACTGTACAGTATGTAGACTGTACTGTATTGATACCAGTCTCTTCACAAATCCATGAGTCCTGTCTTACTCCTCACTCCTTAGACCATATTCCTCTCAGTCATCGTGGGTGGTGACGTCCACGTGTGTGTAGCTCTTGTAGGCCTTCATGTTGCACTTCTGCAGCGTGGCCCCCAGCTGCTTCCCGGGGCCCATCTCGTAGGTGTGGGGGAAGCTCTGGCCCTGGGTCCTCTCGAACACCTCGTGGAGGGTCTGCTCCCACTTCACTGGCGACACAAGCTGCTTGGTCAGCTGCCTGCGCACGTGGCCCTCATGCATGTAGCGCTTGGCGTCCACGTTGGAGTACACGTTGATCTCTGGCCGACGCACCTAAGTTTGGATGGGTAGAGAGACGGGTTTGGCAAAGGATTTTTCCACCCCTTTAATTTATTTGGGCATTTATGGAGGGAAAATTAATGTTTTTAACCAGACTTATATAATTGGCAATCTGTCTTTGGCGCATGTTAGGAATCAAATCTTGTAAACTCCACCATACTTCAACCAACACGACTGGAGACATTGTATACTTGACGTATGCTGTATATTGTAACGTCCTGGCTGCACAGTACATTTACCGACTGGAAACTGAAAATATATTATTGACTGATTGATTAAGTTACGTACCTCCACCTGTCTGAGGACGTCTCTCAGGGGCTCGGTGGCAGACTCCATCAGCGCCGTGTGGAAGGCCCCACTCACCAGGAGCGGCCGCACACGCAGGAAGTGAAGTTTCCTCGAGTTCTGTTGTAGGAAGTCCAGTGCCTGAGGAATGGAGGAAGTGTCTGTGACTGTGTCTGTGATTCCACCCCTAGCCCCTTCCCCTAACCCATTTAGGTATATCTGAGATGTAGGTCTATAGCCTGCTTGACTCTGATCTCAAATAAATGTGAGGTACGTAATGCCAGGATGTTGTGGCCCAAGAGAGTGATCCAACTTCAAAGAAGAATGACTCCCCATTCATCCACTACCTCTTTGTGGCCGGCGATGACTCTCCCGTCGGGGAAAAGGTAGTTGGCCACGCTGCAGACGGGCTCCTTGATGCCCAGGCTAAGGCAGTGCTCCCTGGCCTGCAGACAGGCATGTTTGTACTTAGCCTGGGGCCTTCCCATTACCGACAGCATGCCGCTGGGGATCAGCTCTGACGCTTTCTGCATGGCCTCCGCTCGCACCTTCACCGCATACAGGGCTGTAGGATGGTAGAGACAAAAAAACTATGGTGACTTAGAATTATTCACTGTCTGTTCATAATTAAGTATAGCACAGCATTGGATAGAGTATTGAGGCTCACCTTCTGCGAAATCCATGGCTCCAGAAAACACCAGGGCTGCAAACTCTCCCACACTAAATCCTGCAGCAGCCACACAATTCTCAATGGCCTTAATGGATGAGGACACATACGATGACAAGATGTGCGTTGAGTTTTGTTTGTAGAGAAATACAATAATATTAATTGGTATAAAACGTCAGTGTGTCATAGGCTGCATTGTTAAACATATATTTAATGTACACTTTGCCATTAAATACACACTTGCAACTATTTAAATCATTTGCAACTCACACAAGTTCATTATCATTGGGACATTGACATGATACAGCACTACAAACATGGAGGGACAGCATCTGCGCATGTGCGGCTACAGACATGCAACTACTATGTGGCTTACCGCTGGATTTTCGTGGTTAAGCCTCTCCACAGCTGCCAGTGATGTGACAAACACTGCGGGCTGACAGTGGACTGTCTTCATCAATTCCTCCTCTGGTCCATCTAGGCACAGAGACAGCAAGTCGTAGCCCAGTATCTTCTGCGCGACGGCAAACATGTCCTTGACGTTTCCGTATTTCAGAAGCCCGCGACCCATACCCACGAACTGACTCCCCTGCCCGGGGAAGAGCAGGACAGAACACTCGCTCGGTTTCTTTTTGGGCCTCCGTTGTTCTTCCTCCGTGGGCTCATTCTCCAGGAGTTGGTCTTTGGTCTCGGGTGATGTTTGTGTCCCGTTCTGTGAGCCATGCTGATGGGGGTTGTTTGACACATTTCTGCACAAGGGAAATGACCTAAGCTCCGTTCTTGAGGTTATCCTCATCATGTTGAGGAGAGTAGCGCCTCTCATGTTGACTGATAAACCTTTTCTCAGGACGAAGACAATGTTCATAGTATTGCCACATGCATCTTTAAATGTGGTGTCCACCGAAGCGGGTCGTAGGTTTTTATAAGTTGACGGAACTCATATTATGCGCTCCATGAGACTAGAAATGGGCGCAGCCATATTGTTTAGGAGACAAGTCGCGTTCAGATGACGTAGTAACGACGGTCACGAGTGTTTGGTGTTGCAGATTCACAAGAAATCACACAAAAACATCACAAGACGTTAAAAAATATTCACATTGAAATAGTAATCTTTAGTTAGAAATACTGCAAATGATTGTTTGGCATTCCTTGGTAGGCCTATTTGCCTACACAAACAAACATATTCAACTTTGTAGGCTATCGAAAAAAACATAAACCACTCGATATACTGTATCATAGGCTGCATAGTTAAACATATTTAATTTACACGTTGCCATTAAATGCACACTTGCAACTATTGAAATAATTTGCAACTCACACAAGTTCATTATCATTGGGCCATTGACATGATACAGCACTACAGACATGGAGGGACAGCATCGGCGCATGAGCGGCTACAAGCCTATACCCATAGGGAAAACTAATGTATGATAATATATGTGACATATATGGACATATGAGTAATACATGTATTTAGATATTTATTTCAAATATTAGTACATATATTACATATGTATTTGAAATATATGTCAATATTATATATTAGCCTTTGGTATGGGTATATGTGAGCCACAGACATTTTTCAAAAGGATTTAAGACATTATATCAAAGAGATTGTATTTCAAGAATAAAAGATTGTGCTGAATATTAGGCCTATTTCAAAAGTGGACTGTAGATATTTGCGTGTCAGATTTTTCCTGACACACTTCCTTTCCTGAAGAAAAATGTCATACATGGGGGGGTTAGACTGCTTTGTATCAGATGGAGAAGAGAACAATCACGTTGTTCACACACATACCAGCATGTGCACTTCTTCTGTACAGAAATTCAAACCTGTCGTTTATTCTTGGTATTCTAGAATTTAGGATGACTGTAGTCCCCTAGCAAGATGGAAATCTGAACAGTCAGTTGGTTGATTGAGGTTGATGAGGTGTCTCTCAGTTCTTGAAGTAGTGTATAGACTACTGGGTCCACCTTCCAAGAATCATAGTCCTCATGGGTTATGTTCAGTACGGAACTGAATATTTTTTTACATGGAAGAAACTAAAATTAGCATTCTTATTGCACAGGTAGTATCTCCAAGATCAAAGCACTTTCTAATAGGAACACAAATTCCATTTTATTAATTTTTTACAGATCCTACTCATCTCCTAGTTAGCACTACCAATGGTAGAGGTCGAGTTCCTCCCAGACTACATTCCAGATCTTACCACGCCTGGATTGGTATTTAACATATCAGCCAACCACCTCATATGATGTAGAAATCTGATGCCCGACTGTACAGTCGATGATGTGGCACGCAACCATTTATTGATGCAATGCAACACCTGCACATCTAGTCAGGCAGGAACTCGGGCATGTTTGACATTGCAGCCGACAGTGCAGGTGACTGCCGAATGACTGATCTACAAAGATCATAAATAACTACTCAATATTATTTGTAGATCAGTCAGTCAGTCACAATTTACCCATGACACATCACGATCCCTCAGGCTCTGACAGGGTGATAGCCTCCACCTGTTCCTGTAGCCCTTTCTCTTCTGTGGCCGATTGGCTCTCAAGTATCTGCTGAGTTTCCTGATTGGCTCTTGGTTGGAGTTTAGCGATAAACTCACTGCTGGCTAATGCCCCCTCCTGTTTCGGGCAGGTGATTTTCACTGGCAACGATGATAACCTGTCTGTAGCAAAAGATACGGCATTCCATAATTAGTATAATTTATTGACTGTCCATCAAATCTGATTTCTTATTGCAGTATTTTTGTTTTTGCAACACATACATACATACATACACACACACAGAGAAAGAGAGAAATACATGGCAGAGCATTACCCCCAGGAGCGACGGGTTTCATTAGGCGGTTGAGCTGAACGTTCCAGTGTCGGACATGGCTACTGGCTTTACGAAGCTTCTCCTGAACTTCCTACAGACCCAGAGAGAGGGAAACAAGGACATAAGAACATACTGCTAGTTACACAGTTGATGTAAGCTGCACTTTGTTTTACCATCTGTCATTTACTAGCAGGTATTGACTTATAGGTGCCCTATGCAACAATTCCACCTGCAAATAGCTCTATACCGAGTATAAAGTTTTATCACTTGAAAATTATGGCTCCCTAAACTCCACTGTTGCAAGATTCCCACCTCCTGCCACCTCTTCTCCTCCATCTCTCATCTCCTCTCTCTCACCTCCAGGTGCTGGTGACTCCTCTCTCGGGTCTCTCGGAGGCTCTGGAGCTCCTGGGAGGCGTAGTGGAGGGCAGAGGGGTCCGGCCCGTCTTCCTTAGCTCCGTTTGGGGCCTCCTCCCTGGGGCTGATGTGGCGGGATGCCTCCTGCTGCTCCTGGAGGAGCAGACACTGCCTGTGCTTCTCCTCCTCTGCCTGCAGTACCCTGGGAGAGGAAGGAGGACAACGGTAGAGAGACAGTAGAAAGGGAGAAAAGATAGATAGGAGAGAGGATGAGATGAGGGATATAAGGGCACAGAAGACCATTCCACTGCAATAGACAGGGACGTTTGGTGATCTGATCTGTGTCTTTAGTCTTGCAGCCATGTGTGTGTATCCTTATGTGTGTGTGTGTGTGTGTAATTGTGTGTGTGTGCCTGATTTCTCCTCCTCCAGGCGAGCCTGTTTCTACGTGTTGAGATAAGTTTGTGTAGGCGTGTTACCCTTCTAGCTCCAGCCTGACTTTCTCCTCCTCCATGTGGGCCTGTATCTCCGTGTTGAGAGCGGCCTCCAGTTTGTGCTGGGTCAGCTCCAGCTCCTGGATCCTCTTCCTCTGCTGCTCGGCCTCCTTCTCCTTCTCTGCCATCTCAGCCTGCATGCTCTCCCGCAACTGGGGAACACACGCAGGCAGGCAATCAGGCACGTATACATGTACACCGAATGCATTCATTCACACACACCATATACTCATTTATCTGGGGAACCTACACAGGTGCACTAATAAACCTAATTCGACTTTATTCTTCAGTACATGATCTCACCTTCTCGGCCTCCTCTAGCTGTCTCTCCAACTCTCTCTGGACCTCCTTCTGTTGCTCTCTCTCCTTCTCCTCCTCCTCCCTGCGCCGTTCCTCCACCTCTCGCTGGTGCTGTGGGACACATACATCCTACATGTCATGTTAAGTACTGTATACTATGTATGCATTACCCCCTCTTTCCCCCCACTCATCCTTTCTATCTCTCCTCTTTAATGCCTCTCTCTCTCCCTCCCTCTCACCTGAATAATACTCTCTATCTCCTGTCCTTGCCGTTCCTTTTCCCTCTCCCGGTCTTGAATGGTAAGCTCTTCTGATTGGCTGCCGCTCAGGCAGCGCCCCCGTTGGCTCTGCTCGCGCTGGACCCGCCTCTTCAGCTTTAGTTCCTGGTGCAGGGAGGACTTGCGCTCACCCTGGAGACGGATGGCAGTCTGCAAGGCTGGGGAGAGAGAGGACACACAGACACAAACACACACCCACAGGAGAATCAGAAAAAAGTGAATTTCCTTCCCTAATGCTTTTCAACCCATGTTTAATGTAATGTTTTAACCATTAGGTCAACAGGATATCCCCTTGGTCCGAGGATGACAATTAGGCTTGTGTCTCAGGCAGGGCGTTACACTTGTTCACATCCCCTCACCTTGGGTCCATTCCACCCTCTGTCTCTGGTCGGCGGCACTCATCTCATAGGTCTTGCTGGGGGTCTTCACACAAAAGAGACAACGCTTCCCATCCCTGTCTGGAATAGCCTAAAACCGAGAGAGGACAACTGGTGGTTGACTACCAGGGTGACATTATCAACACCCGAAGTTCCGCTCAGGTAATCCCAACCATAAATGATCAGCATTAGCATCATACTTCATGTAAACACTCATTGACTCTTGTTTTAATCCATGTCCTAGCTCAAAACATAGGCCCAATGGTACAGTTCTAGACAAGCTTGTATCTATACCAATTCAAGCTAGCCCTATGGTATTTTCAAATAAGGGGCTACCAACTGAGCATAGTGTGCTTATATTAGAGTCTCATATGAAATCCCTCAGCTGCGGCGTTGGACTGATTCATGTAAATGCCAGAAGTTTGATCTCGAAAATTGATTTGATTATAACTCTGGCCTCTCAAACCAATGTGGACATTCTGGTAATATCTGAAACTGCAAAAATGGAAGAGGCAAGTGGAAGGGGGAAACAGTAAGGAACTTGTCTGTCAGCCCTGCATTATAGACAAAAATTGGTTAAAGAAAATGGTGATAAATAAAAAAGTATACCAGTTTAATTTCAGGACCAAATAGTTGGGAAGAGATTTTCGATGTACCAATTCCATGGCACATGGTTATTGAACTGTTACACAAAACTGTTACACAAAACGGCGCCGAATTCAAAACGTAACATTTTTCAATTAAAATTATTATACAAAATTCTTGCAACCAATAGAATGTTATATACAGTGGGGAGAACAAGTATTTGATACACTGCCGATTTTGCAAGTGTTCCTACTTACAAAGCATGTAGAGGTCTGTAATTTTTATCATAGGTACACTTCAACTGTGAGAGACGGAATCTAAAACAAAAATCCAGAAAATCACATTGTATGATTTTTAAGTAATTAATTTGCATTTTATTGCATGACATAAGTATTTGATACATCAGAAAAGCAGAACTTAATATTTGGTACAGAAACCTTTGTTTGCAATTACAGAGATCATACGTTTCCTTTAGGTCTTGACCAGGTTTGCACACACTGCAGCAGGGACTTTGGCCCACTCCTCCATACAGACCTTCTCCAGATCCTTCAGGTTTCGGGGCTGTCACTGGGCAATACGGACTTTCAGCTCCCTCCAAAGATTTTCTATTGGGTTCAGGTCTGGAGACTGGCTAGGCCACTCCAGGACCTTGAGATGCTTCTTACGGAGCCACTCCTTAGTTGCCCTGGTTGTGTGTTTCGGGTTGTTGTCATGCTGGAAGACCCAGCCACGACCCATCTTCAATGCTCTTACTGAGGGAAGGAGGTTGTTGGCCAAGATCTCGCGATACATGGCCCCATCCATCCTCCCCTCAATATGGTGCAGTCGTCCTGTCCCCTTTGCAGAAAAGCATCCCCAAAGAATGATGTTTCCACCTCCATGCTTCACGGTTGGGATGGTGTTCTTGGGATTGTATTCATCCTTCTTCTTCCTCCAAACACGGCGAGTGGAGTTTAGACCAAAAAGCTCTATTTTTGTCTCATCAGACCACATGACCTTCTCCCATTCCTCCTCTGGATCATCCAGATGGTCATTGGCAAACTTCATACGGGCCTGGACATGCGCTGGCTTGAGCAGGGGGACCTTGCGTGCGCTGCAGGATTTTAATCCATGATGGCGTAGTGTGTTACTAATGGTTCTCTTTGAGACTGTGGTCCCAGCTCTCTTCAGGTCATTGACCAGGTCCTGCTGTGTAGTTCTGGGCTGATCCCTCACCTTCCTCATGATCATTGATGCCCCACGAGGTGAGATCTTGCATGGAGCCCCAGACCGAGGGTGATTGACCGTCATCTTGAACTTCTTCCATTTTCTAATAATTGCACCAACAGTTGTTGCCTTCTCACCAAGCTGCTTGCCTATTGTCCTGTAGCCCATCCCAGCCTTGGGCAGGTCTACAATTTTATCCCTGATGTCCTTACACAGCTCTCTGGTCTTGGCCATTGTGGAATGGTTGGAGTCTGTTTGACTGAGTGTGTGGACAGGTGTCTTTTATACAGGTAACGAGTTCAAACAGGTGCAGTTAATACAGGTAATGAGTGGAGAACAGGAGGGCTTCTTAAATAAAAACTAACAGGTCTGTGAGAGCCGGAATTCTTACTGGTTGGTAGGTGATCAAATACTTATGTCATGCAATAAAATGCAAATTAATTACTTAAAAATCATACAAATGTGATTTTCTGCATTTTTGTTTTAGATTCTGTCTCTCACAGTTGAAGTGTACCTATGATAAAAAATTACAGACCTCTACATGCTTTGTAAGTAGGAAAACCTGCAAAATCAGCAGTGCATCAAATACTTGTTCTCCCCACTGTGTATGTATATATATATATATATATATATATGGGATACAACCATCCCAGCTCTGCAGATTTTGCTGCGAAAAGACAGAATCATTAGATCATTTGTTTTGGTACTGTCCATATGTGGCTTGTTTTTGGTCACAGGTTCAGAAATGGCTGAAGAAGTGCAACATTTACCTGGATCTAACTCTGCAGATAGCACTACTGGGTGATTTGAAAAGTCATAGTCAATCGATCAATAACATAATAAAACTTTTAGCAAAAATGTCAATCTGTAGAATCTATGAGACTAGAAAGGTTCAGAACTTTTGTAAAACATCATAGAACAGTTGAAAAATATATGGCAAATAGAAATCAAAACTGGATGGTGTTCAGAGATAGATGGTAGGGGTTGAGTGGAGCTGAAGGGTGGGACTAAAAACAACAAGATAAGTAATGTAAAATATACTGTGTCCGTAAAATGTATATAGGTTCAGAACTTTAGTGAAACAGCACAGTTAAAAATATATGGCAAATAGAAATCAAAACTGGATGGTATTCAGAGATAGATGGGAGGAGTTGAGGGAAACTTGGCTAAATAAGACTGTGCCGGATACTGATGAGTCTCTGGCTGGTTATAATGTTTTGGATCTGACAGAGTTGGCAGACGTGGAGGTGTCACCATATTTACAAAGGACAACTTAAATGTTTGTGTATCTCTCACTACCTCTGTCCCTAAGCAATTTGAATGTCTAGTCCTAAATGTGGCCCTTGGTAATAATGCCCAACTTATGCTAGTTGGAATTTATAGCCCTCCCTCCAATTGTCTATCTAATTATGCTACATCTGAATTATTAATTTTGGGTGATCTTAATCTGGATTGTTGATGCCAGCTTCTGATAGGCTGAAATATATCTGCATTGAGCTAAATCTAACTCAGCTGATAACTAAACCAACCCGCCCCAACTTTAAACACCCTGTAAAATCTGGGGTTATCCCTAAGATCTGGAAAACGGCACAAGTCCTCCCCCTACACAAAGGCGGAGATCCTTCTGACTTGGATAACTACTGTCCAATTTCTTGCCTTGACAAAGTTTTAGAGTCACTGGCCAACTCTCAGCGTATAACTTTTTCAATGTCTCATTCTATTCTTAATGAGCACCAATCTGGTTGTAGACCTGGACATAGCACTGTTTCATTATTATTTATGTATTTATTATAATATATATATTTTTTACTCCAGATACAAAATTATAGATATGAACAACAACTTACAGGCGCACACAAACAATGACTACATCTCATCTGCCCAGACCCGCATGCTCACACCCCCATCCCTAGTGCCTTCATTGTACCAATTTGTTTTTCTTGGTCGCCCATGCTATTTCAATAATAAATCATTCCATTTTTCCATTGTGTTAATGATGGCAGATTGATTTCAACGTTTTTACACTGAACAAAAATATAAAACGCAACAATTTCAAAGATTTTACTGAGTTACAGTTCATATAAGGAAATCAGTCAATTTATATAAATAAATTAGGCCCTAATCTATGGATTTCACATGACTGGGAAACCAGATATGCATCTGTTGGTCATAGATACCTTTTTTTTTTAAAGTAGGCGCGTGGATATAAAAAACTGTTAGTATCTGGTGTGACCACAATTTGCCTCATGCAGTGCGACACATCTCCTTTGCATAAAGTTGATCAGGCTGTTGATTGTGGCCTGTGGAATGTTGTCCCACTCCTCTTCAATGGCTGTGCGAAGTTGCAGGATATTGGCGGGAACTGGAACACGCTGTCATACACGTCAATCCAGAGCATCCCAAACATGCTCAATGGGTGACATGTCTGGTGAGTATGCAGGCCGTGAAAGAACTGGGACATTTTCAGCATCCAGGAATTGTGTACAGATCCTTGCGACATGTGGCCATGCATTATCATGCTGAAACATGAGGTGAAGGCGGCGGATGAATGGCACGACAATGGGCCTCAGGATCTCGTGATGGTATCTCTGTGCATTCAAATTGCCATTGATAAAATGCAATTGTGTTTATTGTCCGTAGCTCTATGCCTGCCCATACCATAACCCCACCGCTCTGTTCACAACGTTGACATCAGCAAACCGCTCGCCTACATGACGCCATACATGCTGTCTGCCATCTGCCCGGTACAGTGGAAACCGAGATTTATCCGTGAAGAGCACACTTCTCCAGGTTACAACGCCAAACTGCAGTCAGGTCAAGACCCTGGTTAGGACGACGAGCACACAGATGAGCATCCCGGAGACATTTTGTGCAGAAATTCTTGGGTTGTGCAAACCCACAGTTTCATCAGCTGTCTGGGTGGCTGGTCTCAGACGATCTCGTCGGTGAAGTTCCCTGGATGTGGAGGTCATGGGCTGGCGTGGTTACACATGGTCTGCGGTTGTGAGGCCGGTTGGACGTACTGCCAAATTCACTAAAATGACGTTGGAGGCGGCTTATGGTAGAGAAATTAACATTAAATTATCTGGGAACAGCTCTGTTGGACATTCCTGCAGTCAGCATGCCAATTGCACGATCCCTCAAAACTTGAGACATCTGAGGCATTGTGTTGTGTGACAAAACTGCACATTTTAGAGTGGCCTTTTCTTGTACCCAGCACAAGGTAATGATCATACTGTTTAATCAGCTTCTTGATATGCCACACGTGTCAGGTGGATGGATTATCTTGGAAAAAGATAAATGCTCACTAACAGGGATGTAAACAAATTTGTGCACAACATTTTAGAGAAATAAGCTTTTTGTGCGTATGGAAAATTTCAGGGATCTTTTATTTTCAGCTCATGAAACATGGGACCAACACTTTACATGTTGCGTTTCTATTTTTGTTCAGTATAGTATACCTTTTTTCAAGATGAGTGATGACAAGAGAATCGTCCAGCCCATTGGGTATCTCATTACACCCCTATATGCCATGTCTTGAAATATGCAGACAAACGGATTAACAGACATAGCACTGTTTCAGCAGCTACACTTGTCTTAGATGTGCTATATTGTTTAGACCATAAAAATCATTGTGCCGCCTTATTTATTGACCTGTTAAAGGCATTTGATACTGTTGACCATTTCTTACTTGTTCAAAGGTTGTCTGAAATAGGCTAGGTCAGGCATCTTGCAGTTGGTTCAAGAACTATCTAATGGACAGGACACAATGTGCTTACTGACAATATTACGAAAGATGTGCCGCAGGGGTCGATTTTTGGCCCTGGTCTCGTCACTATTTCTATAAATAATATTGGTCTATCTGTTCAAACCTGTAACCTTAATCTCTACGCGGATGATACAGTTGTTTACTCCTGTGCCCCCTCAGTACAGCAGGCCATTCATAAACTTCAGCATGGTTTTGACTCCATTCAGAAATCGCTTACTGATCTTAAACTAGTGCTAAATGCTAATAAAGCCAAGTTTATTGTGTTCTCCAGGTCTCGTAATATTGACCCTGAGGACCTACATATTTGCACATTGAAGGGAGCCCAAATTGAACAAGTTCCCCATTATAAGTACTTGGGTATTTGGATTGACGATAAGCTCTCTTTTAAAACACACATTGAAAAACTGACAAGAAAGTTGAGAATTAAGATTGGTTTCTTTTATAGAAATAAATCCTGCCTCACCTTGGAAAGTAGAAGGAAGATTGTTCAAGCAACGCTTCTCTCAGTACTTGATTATGGTGATGTAATCTACATGCATGTGGCAGCCTCTGTTTTAAAACCTTAAGATTCAGTCTATCATTCAGCACTGTGTTTTATCACTACGGACAATTTTCGTACACATCACTGCATTTTGTATAGTTCTGTTGGCTGGAAGTCACCGACTACCAGAAGGGCCCAGCATTGGCTACTTTTTGTACATAAAGCGGTTCTTCAGAGATTTCCCCACTACATCAGCTCACGTATTAAATGAAGATCCAGCAATTTTTTAAAACATTTTTTAAATTTTTAGTCATTTAGCAGACGCTCTTATCCAGTGCGACTTACAGTTAGTGAATACATATTTTTTTATATTCCCCGTGGGAATCGAACCCACAACCCTGGCGTTGCAAACGCCATGCTCTATCAACTGAGCTACATCCCTACCGGCCATTCCCTCCCCTACCCTGGACGACGCTGGGCCAATTGTGCGCCGCCCATGAGTCTCCCGGTCGCGGCCGGCTGCGACAGAGCCTGGATTCGAACCAGGATCTCTAGTGGCACAGTTAGCACTGCGATGCAGTGCCTTAGACCACTGCGCATTTTCAGACCCGCTCTCTGGACTGACTGCTTCTGGAGGTCCCGCGGGTCTCCACTGACCTGGGGGAAAATGCTTCTAGCTTTTGTGTTCCCAGCTCATGGAATAGCCTTCAGGTCACCTTGAAATTAAACTCACTGGTCTCCATTGGACAGCTTAGATCGAGTTTAAGGGAGGTGATATGCGAGAGTTGTGTTTGTTTTGATTAATCCTGTTTTCTTTATTGTATTGATATTATTTATTGTATGTTCATGTTCACAGGGCTACCTTGCAAATGGTCTCAATGGTGACCCAACCTGTACAAATAAAAGTTAAATAGAAAAATGTAATAATACCCTACATGACCAAAAGTATGTGGACACCTGCTCGTCAAACATCTCATTCCAAAATCACAGGCATTAATATGGAGTTGGTCCCCCCTTTGCTGCTATAACAGCCTCCACTCTTCTGGGAAGGCTTTCCACTAGATGTTAGAACATTGCTGCGGGGACTTGCTTCCATTCAGCCACAAGAGCATTAGTGAGGTCGGGCACTGATGTTGGGCGATTAGGCCTGGCTCGCAGTCGGCGTTCCAATTAATCCCAAAGGGGTTCGATGGGGTTGGAGTCAGGGCTCTGTGCAGGCCAGTCAAGTTCTTCCACATCGATTTTGGTAAACCATTTCTGTATGGACCTCGCTTTGTTCACGGGGGCATTGTCATGCTGAAACAGGAAAGGGCCTTCCCCAAACTGTTGCCACAAAGTTGGATGCACAGAATCGTCTAGAATGTCATTGTATACTGTAGTGTTAAGATTTCCCTTTACTGGAACTAAGGGGCCTAGCCCGAACCATGAAAAACAGCCCCAGACCATTAGTCATCCTCCACCAAACTTTACAGTTGGTACTATACATTCGGGCAGGTAGCATTCTCCTGGCGTCTACCAAACCCAGATTAGTCCGTTGGACTGCCAGATGGTGAAGCGTAATTCATCACTCCAGAGCACGCGTTTCCTCTGCTCCAGAGTCCAATGGCGGCGAGCTTTACACCACTCCAGCCGATGCTTGGCATTGCACGTGGTGATCTTAGGCTTGTGTGCGGCTACTCAGCCATGGAAACCCATGAAGCGCCCAACAAACAGTTATTGTGCTGACGTTGCTTGCAGAGGCAGTTTGGAACTCGGTAGTGAGTGTTGCAACTGACGACAGAAGATTTTTAGCACTTGGCGGTCCCGTTCTGTGAACTTGTGTGGCCTATCACGTCGCGGCTGAGCCGTTGTTGCTCCTAGACGTTTCCACTTCACAATAACAGCACTTACAGTTGACCGGGGCAGAAATTTGACAAACTGACTTGTTGGAAAGGTGGCATCCTATGACGGTGCCACGTTGAAAGTCACTGTGCTCTTCAGTAAGGCCATTCTACTGCCAATGTGTGTCTATGGAGATTGCATGGATGTGTGCTCGATTTTATACACCTGTCAGCAACAGGTGTGGCTGAAATAGCAGAATCCACTCATTTGAAGGGGTGTCTACATACTTTTGCACATCTCAGTCTCAGGTACGCAGTAGCGATGCACTCAGCCATTAGCGAATAAATAATAATCCTAGCCAAGATTTTTTCTACTGGTTTTTGGATTCAAAGATAAACCAGAATAACAAGATTACCTCCACAACGCAATTCTGGTCCAATGGAATCTCTCCCTTCTTGTCTTTTAGGTCCTCGCTGGCGTAGTAGGTCATGAAGGATGGCCTGAGTACAAACCAACGCTCCATCCAGTTCCTACGCACATGTCCCTTTTTCCACATGTAACCCTGCGAGAGAGAGAGAGAGACAGACAGAGAGAGAGGGATTGATCAGTGTCCCTGTATTGTGAATTTCATTCAGCGCAAACACATAAAAACAGCCCCACTCCCCTGTCCCCCCCCCACACACACAGCTACACATCCCTCCCCTCACCCCGGGGCCACATCCATACACTCCCACCAACTCACCCTCTTGAGGACGTTGTGGTACATCTCCCAAGAAGACTTGGTCCAGGGCCAGACTGAAGGCCTCCACACTGCTGACCCTCAGCAGCCTCCCGGCGCCCATGTGATCCAGGAACACCCACACCGACATGCCCTCCTCCTGGACAGAGTCAACCTGGGATAGCAGGTCCTCCAGGGGCTTGCCGTCCCACTCCTGGTTCATCGCAGTGGAGATTTTCTTCAGCAGGTACTCCACCTGTGTGTGTGGGGGGGGGATAAATGTGACATTTTGGATTACACATGTAAAGTTACAAGTCAGAAAATATCTTTATCCTTCTATGGGTCAATTTGCTGGGACCCATATTCAGAAAGTGATCTAGTAAAGGGATAATGCTGTGGTCAGCAAGTTGCAACACATCTTCATAAAGCCTGCAGATGATATCGAGTGAGTTCACGTGTTATCAACAGGAAACCAACCTCCCTCCTATTGGTTTATTCCACCCCGACTTCCTGCTTAGGGGGAGGAGCTCAGGAAGTAAGGACCTAGATTAGTGATTTTTTTGCAAGGGGCTATCGATAAAGATACAGTTTGTATACTGCAAGCGTCAAAGCACACAGTGTAGTCAAAGATGGCCACCGGACTGCATAACTACGACTATTTTCTTACTCTGTTTATATACAGTCCTGTATGTGTATCTATTCACCCTCTATTTCTCCCTCCCTCTTCAGCTCTCCTCCTTTCCCACTTCTCACTCTCTTTTCCAGATGAACTATTTCCTCCCTACCTACACATCTCCTTTCCTCTCTTTCTCTCTGAAAGATACTGACTTTATATTTAAATGTGCCAATGGAAGTCAGTCTCTCCCTGCCCCCCTCATCCCTCCACCCCCCTCACCTCCTGTGGGATCATGATGAGCGGGTAGTGGTCCTCCGACAGCAGGTTGAAGAGACAGAAAAGTTTGAAGCAGTCTCTCAGGGAGCACAGCAGCCCCCCCTGGCCGCTGGTAGGTTTGTAGTTTTTCTTCATGGTCATCATCCAGCACAGGTCGTCAAACGTCTCCTTGTCGTACGCACCCTCTTTGACCTGGGTGCAGCACACCAGGGGTTAATTCATTAATTAGTACTGGTAAAGAGGTTAAAGGGATAGTTCACCCAAATGACTAAATTACATATTGGTTTCAATACCCTGTAAGCAGTCTATGAACAAGGTAAGACAGCAATGCATGCTTCAGTTTTGCTCACAGGTTAAGGAAACCAATATGTCGTTTTGTAATTTGGGTGAACTAAGATTAAGATCAAGATCAAGTGCAATTCATCTCCTGAATGGACTGGAATTCACTCATCTCAATGTGAAAATCCTCAATTGAGTAGTGATGTGATGGTTACCTTGGCCAGTATGTATTTGTTGAGGTACGGCATGTAGCCATGGTTTGACACGGGTCCATCGTCATCGTCTTGGAAGTGTTCCTCCAGCGCCACGGGGTCATGAGGAATGTTCAACACCGTGCACAGGTTGTGGGAGAGAACCTGTGACATGCACGCACACACACACACAGAAAAATGAAGAAAATGCCTGTGTCAAAGGGAGATTCTCAATTGGATCACTCAACTCCTCCGTCCTCAGTTATCCTCTCCTTGCCTCCTTTTCAAAAGGTCAAAGGTAACCGAGGAGAGGAGGGGAGGGGAGGAAATGTGGAAACAAATACGCTTGTCTGAAATTATACTCTCTTTCTTCACTCGCTCATCATCATGTAAATTACATTTCATGGGGTGGAATCCCAAATTAAATGTGTAAAGTATTAAAAAGACATGTAGCTAGTTGTGCTGAACATTTTATAGATATAAGAATAAGTAGCATTTAGCTTTTAAATATGCATACTTTCCTCCTCTGAGTAAACAACAGCTGATTCAAAACTCTTCCACGAAGGATACTCTTGTGCTTCCTCGCCTGGAGGAGGCCATCTCGGACACGAGGACACTCCTCTGTTTCAAACTAATTGACACTATCCTCGACCACTCTACAACTTATCGGTTTTTGGGTCACGGAGGAGAGAGGATGGAGGATTCGAGGAGAGGATAGTATTTTGGCCAAATGAGAATCTCCCATAAATGACCCTTTAAAATGTATTATGTTACTGTTAATATTAAATCTACTATTCCTATATATACAGTATGTAAGTGGTTACTAAAATAGGGCACATAAACTCAAATAATCTCAAATCATATGAAACAACCAACACACACACACACACACACACACACACACACACAGCCCTCTCAGTGTGAGCATGTCTGGACACCTGCCTGCTATTTCCTGGGATTCTCACCATAGGGCGAACGCAACGTGTTTGAACTCGACAGGCCAGAGACTGAGTGAGGGGGAAGATGACTGGGGAAGATGTCTGAACACACCGTCTGTTTCTGTTGTACAGTAAACTTTGATATGTTGTCATGTGTACAGGTTGAGTGCAGTAAAGGGAGAGGGACAGACCTGGACTTTGAAATGAGGGCATAGTTGACTACCGCCTGACCTAGATGCACCTATTTATGTGTGTGTGTAGGCTGCCGCTGTTGATATTACTCACTGAAGAGGGTTTCATGGATACACACTCATGAGTGTGTATCCATGTTTTAAAGTCACCAATGTATCCAAAGTGTGTGTGTGAGTGAGTGAGTGAGAGAATGTCTTCATGTGTATGTTTCTCATACTCAGCAGTATTCCTGCATGATGCATGCAAATTATTATTTTTACAAGTGGACTGTTAACTTTATAATGGTTTACATCCCTAGATTCAAGCGGAATCATTTATTATAGCCTAATATAACAACTTGTAAGAGGCTAACGATGTATTTTTTAAGGCTATCTTGATCAGATCTTCAAACGTCAAAATGTTTGTTTATAAGGTTATGAGTAAGAAGCTGGCGCCAGAGGCACAGAGGCAATTCAACACCCATTTCCTGATTATAAAGCTCAGCACTTGGAAATATTACACTTCAAATCTAACCTTCAGCTGGGATTTCGATACTTTGCCGCATTTCTCCATGTCCAGCGATGTGAAGGCGTACCAGATGGACTTGAGCAGTTCGGATTGTAGTTCCATTGTGGAGACAGACGTCTTAGCGTCTACATTCCGAAGCCGGCGGAGTTGCGCACAGCACAGTGATATCAGTATTGCAAAGTGGAAGCGCTTACCGAGAAGGCGAACAGGACACATTAAGAAAAGGGGTGGAGAAGAGATTAATAATTATGTAACGAAAGTAAAAGACTATATGCATATAATAGGATATTTATAATCATAATAAATACTTAGTAAAAATGTATAAACCACAATATCAATATTTAACTTGTTTGGATTCATGTAAGGTACTAATAGCCTACCTTTTAACCTATAATTATGTTTTAGGTCATTCAAATGGACTTCAAACTTCGAATGAGTTTGGAAAACTCATGCATCCTTGTAAATTATAGACCTCTCTCTTTCAAGTGATGGTGGTAAATTAACCCCAGCTCTTGGTTGATATCATTGCTATGCATAGTCGATATCACTACATCCCCCAGCAGCCACTCTGGGTTTGAGTCACACTCTCACAATTCCACCAACTCACAACTTGTTTCCTTACAAGTAAGAGAGAGATCCGGAATTATGAGCGGGCCTTGGGGGGCCTGGCCCGCCCTACCGCACTTCATTGTCAGTCCAAATAAAATATTTAAATATTGATCATTTATTTGACCGAGACGCACGCGGACAGAAAGACGCATCGATATCAGTTAAAGCATCCGCGCGAGCGAAACAGCGCCCCTCTGTCTCAGTACGTGTAGACCATGTATCTGACGCTGTCTGGACCAAAATAGTATGGCATGTCATACTATTTCTGTCCAGACAGCATCAGATACATTTTACATTTACATTTTAGTCATTTAGCAGACGCTCTTATCCAGAGCGACTTACATATTTTTATTTTTATTTTTTTTACATCGGCTACACATAGAGAGGCGCTGTTTCGCTCGGTCGGATGCTTTTCTCCGGAAACATTGTTTCAGCAGAGAGGAAGAGTAAGACAATGCGTTTTTATGAGCATATGAGTTTTTATGCAGACATAAGCTTGTCGCCTGCACCTTTGGGACAAAGACTCCCATTGTTAGGGCGGAGACATGGGCATCTCGTCATTCTATACAGATCTCTGGTTTCAGCCTCTTGCGAATTGTAAAGGAAAGTTAGGCTGCTGGATTCTCCTAAAGTTGTTTCGCCAAAATTATAATATTACTCCTGTCTAAATAAAATCATTCAAAATACTTCACCAGGAAGCATAACTTAGCCACAGAGCATCATTAGCTTCTTGTTTTTTTGTTTATTTTTATAGCTGTGGATTGTTTCAAATCTGTAGACCTGTGCCTATTTGGGAAGCCCGCGATTTGGGAAGCGCTCGTGGCAATAGGCCTACATGATTCAGTTGCGGCTATCAGTGATAAGCGTTTGAAGTATGTGTGAAGTTTTTAATGTTGCAACAAGAAGAAGGGGAAGGGTGTGTGCAATGCTTGACTTGGGCAGGAGCGCACCAGAACTGAGTACCAGCACATTACATTTTCTACTGCTTGAGTTCCTGCACCTCTTATAAAATATTAGCTCAAAAGTATTGTACCGTTCCTGCACCTAAATATAAACAGTACCGGCACCCAAAATGATTTTAGTCCAAGTCAAGCACTGGATGTGTGGCGAAGATATGGCTTGTCTCTCTTGAATGCATGTGCTCAGCTCTCCAGAATGCACTCAGCTGTCTCTCGCCAATTATGGCACATTCATTGTTTCATTGTGTGAATAGTTTACTCTTTGATTGCTTGTAAGTCCCCTTTACATACAGTACCAGTCAAAGGTTTGGACACACCTACTCATTCAAGGGTTTTTCTTTATTTTGTACTATGTTCTACATTGTAGAATAATAGTGAAGACATCAAAACTATAAAATAACACAGATGTAATCATGTAGTAACCAAAAAAGTGTTAAATAAATCAAAATATATTTTATATTTGAGATTCTTCAAAGTAGCCACCATTTGCCTTGATGAGAGCTTTGCACACTCTTGGCATTCTCTCATTGAAAAGATTAGGGGACATGATACGGAATGAAAGCATAAGAGGCAGTTACTTATGCGGAAGACACATTTCAGTTGAATGTATCCCCCTTTCCCTTTCCTTTCACTTTCACAGAGTATAAGAAATGTTTTTTTTGGTTTACTGTTGCAAAACCTTTTGCTACGGTGTGCACTAATGAATATACCTTGATGTCAAGATGTTTCTCTTCACAGGAAAGAAAACTGTAAGCATGGTGAAGATGTTTCTGAAAGTACCCCCAGGAGTTGACCCCAATGACCCTCTGGTGAAAGAGCAAATTCTCACACAGGTGGGAGGAGAGGTTTCAGGGAGGAACTTTGAATCTTTGCTATAGATTTGCTATGGCTCTTTGACAGTGTTGGACTGTAGCCTAATCAATGAAGTAAAATAATACCTCTCAGACATGTGACAACACTTATACAAATGAGTAAATGTCAATGATGCTGCAGGTCATTTTCTGTTGATCACATATTTATACAGCATTTGTCGTCCATGTTGTTTTTAGATACAGGCAGAGATCACCAAGAGAGATGGAGGTGCAACTGTGCGATGGAAGGCGCAGCCAGATGGTAAAGTCTTCCAGAAGGAAGAGAAAGAGGAGAGAAAGCAGGAAGGTAAGTCAAGACACAAGACATGACCACTTGAGAATGTTCCCAGTCTGTTAGTCCATTTAGTTCTCATTCTGGGTTATTCTGGTTCATATCTCAATATAATACATCATAATAACAATAGCAATACATGTTACAATACCTCTTTGTGTGTGTGTGCATGCATAATTATCTCTTCAGGACACTGTGTAAAGAAATCCCAGGAATGCTGAGTGAGACTCCTACAGGTGACAAAGTGAGCTGCATTTATTTGAAACAGAAATTAAATGATTGACGATGACTAATTTCTTCTAATTGTTCTGCTTTATCTGAAATGTTACATCAAGTTCAAAGAGTTGTGGTAGCCTCAACAGGGTACATTGCTTTGTTAATCATAATCTGTTCATCAATGTTGAAGCCTTCATTCTTTTTATTATATTGATCCTTTATTTAACCAGGATCAGTCACATTGAGCCCTGGGCTTAATGTAGCAATGTGTAACAAAGCTAAATATCCCTATTCAATCAAAGCTAGAAACCAGGCTTCTAGGGTAGGAGAATAACAAACCTATTTACTGTATGATGAGAAAGAATGAATGATTTAATATGCAATAAGGACAACGTTTATTTCATTATAAACACAGAGCTTTGAATGTGTGTATCCAACCATGTTTACAGGGCAAAATAATGGTGTCTGAACTTTATTGAATATGGGCTAAGTGTGTGCTAAACAAATGTTTTAACAATGATTATATTTGAAAAACGCATACAATATCAACATTCTAGACTAGAAGTTATGTCAAACTATTTAAACTGTTCACGATAGATATGTAGAATTGTCACCGTGTAACAAATAAAACTTTCACAAGGTATTTTGTCTTCACAGAAAAAATAGCTCTGACCATGGTGGACTTGTGTAAAAAATATATATTTTCGATTTCTGTCACTTACATGTTGGTTCTAATTTATGCATTATGACTAAATATACAACAAAGAAAAGGAGTAAAAACAACATGCGAATGGATGAAAAAGCACAAATACTGTATGTTGTTTTCTCATGCTAACAGACCATTCAAGCTAAGCAATATGGCATGATATGCAGGCATCACTCCATGGAACACATAGCTGTGTGTGTTCCAGTTTTTTCAATGGCTTCCTCTTCTACCTCATGCCCACTAATGTGGCACACTACCTAAGATGTATTGGGACTTGGCCTCTCACATTCGCAAACACATGCTAACACACACACAAATTGTAATATTGTTATTTTGCTGTATTATTGACTTTGTATTGTAAATATGTTATGGTAGAGTAGTGTGTAATAATGTGTTGTGTTATGTATTGTTTTATTGTATGTAAATTGTGATTGGACCCCAGGAAGAGTAGCTGCTGCCATGGCAGCTGCTAATGGGGATCCGTAATAAATACAAATACAAATACACCATGGTAATTATAGTTTTGTGTTTCTATATTAATTATTATTTCGTTTTTAGAAATTCAGTTTAGTTTCAGTTAGTTTTCAGACCTGATTTACTCGTTTTTATCTAGTTTCAGTGTTATAAAACCCTTTTTATTACGTTTTTATATTATTATTGGTCCTCTGTAGCTCAGCTGGTAGAGCACGGCGCTTGTAACGCCAAGGTAGTGGGTTCGATCCACGGGACCACCCATACACAGAAAAATGTATGCACGCATGACTGTAAGTCGCTTTGGATAAAAGCGTCTGCTAAATGGCATATTATTATTATTATTTAGTTCAGTTTCAGTTTTAGTGTTACGCTTTGACACACCGACTGTGTCATTGTCCAAAATAGTATGCAGCATCATCTAGATATGTGTGCAACAAAAGTTCAACATTTACCTTCTGCTACCATTTCTGTCAACCCGTTTACGCATACAGTTTTTCTGCAAGGCAAACGCAGCGTTCCATTGGAAATGAATGTACTTCTGGTGTACCAAAACGCAAAGACACAGTTGGTGTGTTCAAAGCGTTACGGACAGAAAGTAGTAGATTTCTTCCCTGTTACCTAGTGACAGTGATGCACAAGCTAGGCCTATCTGAAACATTGCCATCTACTGGCAGCATTTACCTGCCAGATTCAGAAACTTGAAAACCCTATTAGAATATACAGTTGAAGTTGGAAGTTGACATACACCTTAGCCAAATACATTTAAACTCAGTTTTTCCTGACATTTCATCCTGGTAAAAATTCCCTGTCTTAGGTCAGTTAGGATCACCACTTTATTTTAAGAATGTGAAATGTCGGAATAATAGTAGAGAGAATTATTTATTTCAGCTTTTATTTCTTTCATCACATTCCAAGTGGGTCAGAAGTTTACATACACTCAATTACTATTTGGTAGCATTGCCTTTCAATTGTTTAACTTGGGTCAAACATTTTGGGTAGCCTTCCACAAGCTTCCCACAATAAGTTTGGTGAATTTTGGCCCATTCCTCCTGACAGAGCTGGTGTAACTGAGTCAGGTTTTTAGGCCTCCTTGCTCGCACACAGTTCTGCCCACACAATTTCTATAGGATTGAGGTCAGGGCTTTGTGATGGCCACTCCAATACCTTGACTTTGTTGTCCTTAAGCCATTTTGCCACAACTTTGGAAGTATGCTTGGGGTCATTGTCCATTTGGAAGACCCATTTGCGACCAAGCTTTAACTTCCTGACTGATGTCTTGAGATGTTGCTTCAATATATCCACATAATTTTCCTTCCTCATGATGCCATCTATTTTGTGAAGTGCACCAGTCCCTCCTGCAAAAAGCACCCCCACAGCATATGATGCTGCCACCCCCGTGCTTCATGGTTGGGATGGTGTTCTTCGTCTTGCAAGCAACCCCCTTTTTCCTCCAAACATAACGATGGTCATTATGGCCAAACAGTTCTATTTTTGTTTCATCAGACCAGAGGACATTTCTCCAAAATGTATGATCTTTGTGCCCATGTGCAGTTGCAAACCGTAGTCTGGCTTTTTTATGGCGGTTTTGGAGCAGTGGCTTCTTTGCTGAGCGGCCTTTCAGGTTATGTCGATATAGGACTCATTTACTGTGGATATAGATACTTTTGTACCTGTTTCCTCCAGCATCTTCACAAGGTCCTTTGCTGTTGTTCTGGGATTGATTTGCACTTTTCACACCAAAGTACGTTCATCTCTAGGAGACAGAATGCGTCTCCTTCCTGAGCGGTATGACGGCTGTGTGGTCCCATGGTGTTTATACTTGCGTACTATTGTTTGTACAGATGAACGTGGTACCTTCAGGCATTTGGAAATTGCTCCCAAGGATGAACCAGACATGTGGAGGTCTACAATTTTTTTTCTGAGGTCTTGGCTGATTTCTTTTGATTTTCCCATGATGTCAAGCAGAGGCACTGAGTTTGAAGGTAGGCTTTGAAATACATCCACAGGTACACCTCCAATTGACTCAAATGATGTCAATTAGCCTATCAGAAGCATCTAAAGCCATGACATAATTTTCTGGAATTTTCCAAGCTGTTTAAAGGCACAGTCAACTTAGTGTATGTAAACTTCTGACCCACTGGAATTGTGATGCAGTAAATTATAAGTGAAATAATCTGTCTGTAAACAATTGTTGGAAAAATTACTTTTGTCATGCACAAAACTATAGTTTGTTAACAAGAAATTTGTGGAGTGGTTGAAAAACGAGTTTTAATGACTCCAACCTAAGTGTATGTAAACTTCCGACTTCAACTGTATATTTTGAAACTCCATTGGATTTTTGCCCAAAGCAAAAAATTAAAACAATTACTGAACATAATTAATGATGGTTTTTATTTTATTTTATTAAGTTAAAGATAATAGTTTCAGTATAGTTTTGTTTGTCAAACCTTGCCTTGTTTATTATTTTACTTTTAGTTTACGAAATTGTTTTTTCAAGATTTGTTTTCATATTAGTTTGCTGTAATAATCTTCTTCCACACAGACTTGATCATCATGCGGCTGGCTCGGGCCGAGTATGGGGCAGGTCCTTTCCAGGTCTCCCAGTGGAGGCCGGAGGCCCAGCCGTTGTGTTCGCCGGCGGGGTGCCAGTCGCCGTTCAGGCTGGCGGAGCCACAGCGGCTGTACCACCACCCTCCTCCTCCCTCCGAGAAGCTGCATGTGTTCTCGGCGATGTCGCCAAAGATGCAGGGCGAGCAGCCGTCATTGTCCTTGTCGGTTGTGCTGAAACCAAAGCCATTCTGGTCAATGCCTGTGTAATTCCCACGGATGGCATCACCTACAGAGAGACAGGGAGTGATGAAGAGAGAGTACATCAGTTCTACTTCACTCTTAATTGTATTGACTTCCAAAGCATACACCATCTAAGAATATCAACCCAGCATACATACAGTGGGGAAAAAAAGTATTTAGTCAGCCACCAATTGTGCAAGGCCTGTAATTTTCATCATAGGTACACGTCAACTATGACAGACAAAATGAGAAAAAAATTCCAGAAAATCACATTGTAGGATTTTTTATGAATTTATTTGCAAATTATGGTGGAAAATAAGTATTTGGTCAATAACAAAAGTTTCTCAATACTTTGTTATATACCCTTTGTTGGGAATGACACAGGTCAAACGTTTTCTGTAAGTCTTCACAAGGTTTTCACACACTGTTGCTGGTATTTTGGCCCATTCCTCCATGCAGATCTCCTCTAGAGCAGTGATGTTTTGGGGCTGTCGCTGGGCAACACAGACTTTCAACTCCCTCCAAATATTTTTTATGGGGTTGAGATCTGGAGACTGGCTAGGCCACTCCAGGACCTTGAAATTGTTCTTACGAAGCCACTCCTTCGTTGCCCGGGCGGTGTGTTTGGGATCATTGTCATGCTGAAAGACCCAGCCACGTTTCATCTTCAATGCCCTTGCTGATGGAAGGAGGTTTTCACTCAAAATCTCACGATACATGGCCCCATTCATTCTTTCCTTTACACGGATCAGTCGTCCTGGTCCCTTTGCAGAAAAACAGCCCCAAAGCATGATGTTTCCACCCCCATGCTTCACAGTAGGTATGGTGTTCTTTGGATGCAACTCAGCATTCTTTGTCCTCCAAACACGACTAGAGTTGAGTTTTTACCAAAAAGTTATATTTTGGTTTCATCTGACCAAATTACATTCTCCCAATCCTCTTCTGGATCATCCAAATGCACTCTAGCAAACTTCAGACGGGCCTGGACATGTACTGGCTTAAGCAGGGGGACACGTCTGGCACTGCAGGATTTGAGTCCCTGGCGGCATAGTGTGTTACTGATGGTAGGCTTTGTTACTTTGGTCCCAGCTCTCTGCAGGTCATTCACTAGGTCCCCCCGTGTGGTTCTGGGATTTTTGCTCACCGTTCTTGTGATCATTTTGACCCCACGGGGTGAGATCTTGCGTGGAGCCCCAGATCGAGGGAGATTATCAGTGGTCTTGTATGTCTTCCATTTCCTAATAATTGCTCCCACAGTTGATTTCTTCAAACCAAGCTGCTTACCTATTACAGATTCAGTCTTCCCAGCCTGGTGCAGGTCTACAATTTTGTTTCTGGTGTCCTTTGACAGCTCTTTGGTCTTGGCCATAGTGGAGTTTGGAGTGTGACTGTTTGAGGTTGTGGACAGGTGTCTTTTATACTGATAACAAGTTCAAACAGGTGCCATTAATACAGGTAACGAGTGGAGGACAGAGGAGCCTCTTAAAGAAGAAGTTACAGGTCTGTGAGAGCCAGAAATCTTGCTTGTTTGTAGGTGACCAAAAACTTATTTTCCACCATAATTTGCAAATAAATTCATTAAAAATCCTACAATGTGATTTTCTGGAGAAAAAAAATCTCAATTTGTCTGTCATAGTTGACGTGTACCTATGATGACAATTACAGACCTCTCTCATCTTTTTAAGTGGGAGAACTTGCACAATTGGTGGCTGACTACATACCTTTTTTCCCCACTGTATCATATGACATACAGTACCAGTCCAAAGTTTGGACACACCTACTCATTCAAGGGTTTTTCTTTATTTTTACTATTTTCTACATTGTAGAATAATAGTGAAGACATCAAAACAACGAAATAACACATATGGAATCATTTAGTAACCATAAAATTGTTAAACAAATAAAAATATATTTTAGATTTTAGATTCTTCAAGTAACCACCCTTTGTGTTGATGACATCTTTGCACACTCTTGGCATTCGCTCAACCAGCTTCACCTGGAGTGCTTTTCCAACAGTCTTGAAGGAGTTCCCACATATAGTTTTGATGTCTTCACTATTATTCTACAATGTAAAAAATAGTAAAAATAAAGAAAAACCCTTGAATGAGTAGGTGTGGCCAAACTTTGACTGGTAGTGTATGTGTGATGTGTAGAGGTCCCATTGCTGCCACCAAATGTGAATAAACTATAACACTGAAGTAAATAATATGACCACTGTCACCTTGTGCTGTTGAAATTCATTGTTACCTGCGTTGCCTCTGTAGGCTCCAACGTTCAGATAGTAGGCCTCGTTCTCCGTGCCCAGACGGAAGTCGCTGTACTCAGCAAAGGCAGTGCCCCCTTCAAAGTCCCACAGGTCGACCCGCATAGTCGATCTCAGCCCCATGCCCCCCTTGGTTAGAGCAAACACCTTACTCAGACCAAGCCAGTGGTCCTCTAGGAAACAACAGGGAAGAGAACTGAAATGGGAAAATGTAAATGCACTGCAGTATGGGGAACCCTCTATGATAAGTTGACTTAGAAGAAACATTATAAACAAAAATGCATTTAAATATTTGTTACATTGGTTCAGTAATCTACACAGTTCTCACTATCAGTTGCAGGTGGAATGTGAGGTCTCAGAGGGAACCTTCCTTACTCTGTAGATTCCCAAAGCCTTGTTCGTACTTGGCCCACTTCCTGTTGAAAAGAACCTCTGCCCCGGTGCGCCTCTGAAAGACTGTCCAGCCTCCATCTGCCAGCATTTCACAAAACACCTGTATACAATAAAATGTACTTTGAATCAACAATGTTTTTGACAGGTTGTTTTGTTGTGAACAAAAATGGTCCAAGAATGGAACCCTGTGGAACTCCAGTAACTCTGGCAAGCCTGACGACACCTTCAACATTCTGTAGCTAAGCTTTACTTCCCCAGTGTGGTTGTGTAACCAAATGACAACAGTAGATATAGTGCCTGGCCTAAATATTTTGATGTTTCCATACCTTAAAGGGGGATGTGACTCCTGCAGGCTGAATGACATACACTCCACTGGTGGCTTGAGGGGAGAGAGTTTTGATCTGTGTGCAATCAGTCCCTGAAACAAACAAACACACATGCACATACACAAGAACATATTGAAATAGGCAGGGGTCAGGTAAAGAATGGCTGTCTCTTGTGTTTTTAATGTAAGTAAAACAAATAACTGTAACCCTTACCTTGAACAACTAAAGGTGTTTTCTGGCCCTGTACAAAACCAGCAGATAAGTAATGGTTACTCCCAGCTTTAAAGGAATAACATGTTTCTCTGTTTTTGAGGTGTTTGGTGATTAAGGGGGTGTGGTTGCGGCTTATGATCTTGGTGCTTGACGGGGGAGTTTGATTGTTCTATCATCTTGTTATTCTATTATAGGGGGTGTAAAGAATGGCTGTTTTGTGTTTTTATGTATAAAATATGTTCTTATTGAATGGTTTTTGGCTGTCAAACCGCATGTATTATGGTTATCTCCTGTCTTTAAAGTTTACTGTTTTCTGTTTATCTTTGACTTGTACTCTGAGTTGGTAGTGTTTGTAATGAGACTGACACGTCTCAATATTTATTTTTATTTCCTTTCCATTTGTTGATTTTTCTGGCAGAAGAGGGAACTCTGTGTGTTTTTGAGCAAGGGGAGCGATGTAAGATGGATTTCACTTTTTAAATGTCATTTTATTTTCACCTTTTTCCTTTTTATTGGTATCATTGATATCACCTGAATTTTGTTATTGTAATCCCACAAATTATGATATTTTAGAAAGGCTAAAAATACTGATATTAATGTCTAACTTATCTAAAATCTTAGAAACTAGTGGCAAATATCACAACATTATCACAGAGAACCTGAAACGTCACCATTCCCACTCCATTCACAACAGAGTGGTCACCATACATGTAACCTTGAAATTCAGTTTGACCAAATAAGGGAAAATTAAATAGTTATAGTAAAAAAAATGTTCTTATGCTGCCATCATTAGACATTTCACACAGGATAAATATTATGTAAATTATTATAATCACAAATTAGAAATATGCCTGCATGTGATTCATAAATGTACAGAAAACCTACCTTCTCCTGTGTATTCCTTTACAGTCTATGGTCTACTCCCAGTCAGTTGAAAGTTCATTCAGAGAGGGTGTAACTCTATTTATTTAGGTTGAGGGTGCGGATCCGTAGGTAACCGCCCGTTCCGCCCCGTCCCACCCCCATGGATCCCCTGGAAAGATCCGTATCATGTTCTGAGCATGTGTTTCTTTACCTCAACCTAATGCACAAATTGTTGTGGTCACCCTCCCTTCACATTTCTCACTGTCAATCGTGAATTAGAATTCTTCAAGTTTTTCTGGTGAAACGTCCATGCAGCATCTGCATGCCAACCATTTGATCTCAATCAGTTTCATGGGAATATGCATTTAGATCTTTTTAGTTATGTAGTGTGCGAATTTGAGAGAAGATGGTGTTAACAGACTGTAGCATACCAGTGTTATTTTTTCAATCAAAGCACATAATTTGCCTAATGGCGCGTGCTGTTAAGTTGTGGCTGCATGAGAGAAACATTTGACCATTCACACAATCATCCTAAACTGTCATAAAAAAAGTGTTTTTTGTCTTACTGTAACATTATACTATGCCTTACTCGGTTATGTTATGTAATACACTATCACTATGTGATCTTGCAGACACTGACTCAGCTTTGATCTAACTTCATTAAACGAGCACCATTCGCCAGAGTAGCGTGTTCTTTAAGAATAGAGCAGAGACTGTGCGTAACTTCAGGGCCTTTAGCCCCTAAAGAGGGGTCCAGTAAAGTTGGATCCGCAGTCGCTCCGATTTATTCATTGACTCAAGCATCACCTACTGTACATACCCTCACTCCACGTTTCCAGTAACAGTTGTCAGTCGCTTGACCTGACGAACATCTGTGTTGGATTGAAATGTCGTCAATAAAGGTGGTAAATTGGGAGCATATTCAGTGTGTGGGCCTCTCTGTTCTTTTCAAGTGTTGTCAGTTGCCTCACAGTATGACAGATAGATAGTTAATGTTGTTGCAAAAAACACTCCACCACCACGTCCTTGTGCTAATGTTATTGTGTGCTCTGTGAGCCCTGTCGCTGTCTAAACTCACAGCCCGCCCCAATTACAAACAGCAAGGAATACATCCAGCACAATCCAATGAGCAAGGAATAAAATAAAGTATGTGTGTATGTGTTTATCTCTCAAATGTCTTTAGATGTATACTATTCACCCCAAATACAATTGCAAAGTGTTTCAAATGGTATTATTTATGTATCAGGGTTGGGTGGATTACTTGAAAAATTGAATCAGTTACTGATTACAGATTACATGACAATAAAAGTAATTAGTAACATAATCCATTGGATTACGCAAAATGATTAACGTACTTTTGGTAATCTGATTACTTTTGGACACCTCAGTTTATGCTGTAGACCGATCAGTTCCCTCTCTAACTCTGCTCTGTGGATGCTCTTTCCACAGTTGTATCCTCAGTGTCCAACACAGATGGTCTAGTACGGGATGGATCCTCTGTGACTCTGCTCTGCAAAAACTCTGACATGAGTAATGCTTGCTGGAGCAGAAAAATGTAATTGGTTTCGATGCGTTGAACCCATAGTGAAGGTATCAGGACCCAACATTTTTTTTGTCCTGACACACCCTGACACACACAGTCTCAGAGGTGACCAGATGGGTATCCTACGAAGCAGGTTTGAGGTGTTAGCGAGGTAACTCTGCAACTCTGAATAACCGGTCTTACAAAAGTGGCTCACCTTTTAGCCAGGTAAATTTCTATGGCAACGAATCCTTCAGAACTAACTTCACTGAACTCCACTTACCCTGAATGAAATTACTGAGCCACGAGTTGAGGACCAATGAAATCAGATTCCCTCCCTCTTGCAAAGAATGCATCATCATCCCTTTCATTTGAGGAAGACAACTTATAAAATATTTAATTAATCAAATGTATTTTTGTGTGTAAAAAAATATTAATGTTAAAATATATCACATTACACATTTAGTAATGACAGAATACATTTTAAACTTCACGCACAGTAACACTTTTGTATGACAATACAATACATTTATTGATAGGAGTGGGAAAAAAGTGCTTGTGGTTGTGCATTGATAAGCACACCAAAGTTGCCATTAACGATAAGTAATAAAATAAAGACAGCACTTCCATAAACCTATTTCACACCATAGCCTGCGGAATTTGCAAGATAACTTTTTCTTTCATTTGGATTTCAGCAATGTGGCACTGACTCGCCCATGGATTGATGTTTTAACATTGTCTCAATTAAGATTTTGGTGTTTGAATAGCCATGTGCGACATGCAGTGGTGGATAAAGTACCCAATTGTCTAAATAAAACATTCCTTATATTAAGCAAACCAGACGGCACCATTTTCTTGTGTTTTTAATTTATTTACAGATAGCCAGGGGCACACTCCAACACTCAGACATCATTTACGAACGAAGCATGTGTTTTTAGAGAGTCCACCAGATCAGAGGCAGTAAGGATGATCAGGGATGTTCTCTTGATAAGTGCGTGAATTTGACCATTTTCCTGTCCTGCTAAGCATTCAAAATGTAACGAGTACTTTTGGGTGTCAAAAGTTTTGTGTTTTTTTATAGGGGGAATGGATCAGCTTAATATTGCAGATAGATTGTATCTTCTATCAATGTAATTGTCTGCATCACTTCCAATCCCCCATGTTTTTTTAAATATATATACTCCCCTTTATTACTTTTCAACCCCACCATCCTTTCCCTACTTGGAGTAAATTAGTGAACAACAATGCCCAGGCCTCTACTTCCGGTCTATACTTACTATCTACACCTTATGGACAGAGTTAATTTTACAATAATTCTATTATATATATATATATACAGTGGGGAGAACAAGTATTTGATACACTGCCGATTTTGCAGGTTTTCCTACTTATAAAGCATGTAGAGGTCTGTAATTTTTATCATAGGTTCACTTCAACTGTGAGAGACGGAATCTAAAACAAAAATCCAGAAAATCACATTGTATGATTTTTAAGAAATTCATTTGCATTTTATTGCATGACATAAGTATTTGATCACCTACCAACCAGTAAGAATTCCGGCTCTCACAGACCTGTTAGTTTTTCTTTAAGAAACCCTCCTGTTCTCCACTCATTACCTGTATTAACTGCACCTGTTTGAACTCGTTACCTGTATAAAAGACACCTGTCCACGCACTCAATCAAACAGACTCCAACCTCTCCACAATGGCCAAGACCAGAGAGCTGTGTAAGGACATCAGGGATAAAATTGTAGACCTGCACAAGGCTTGGATGGGCTACAGGACAATAGGCAAGCAGCTTGGTGAGAAGGCAACAACTGTTGGCGCAATTATTAGAAAATGGAAGAAGTTCAAGATGACGGTCAATCACCCTCAGTCTGGGGCTCCATGTAAGATCTCACCTTGTGGGGCATCAATGATCATGAGGAAGATGAGGGATCAGTCCAGAACTACACGGCAGGACCTGGTCAATGACCTGAAGAGAGCTGGGACCACAGTCTCAAAGAAAACCATTAGTAACACACTACGCCGTCATGGATTAAAATCCTGCAGCACACGCAAGGTCCCCCTGCTCAAGCCAGCGCATGTCCAGGCCCGTCTGAAGTTTGCCAATGACCATCTGGATGATCCAGAGGAGGAATGGGAGAAGGTCATGTGGTCTGATGAGACAAAAGTAGAGCTTTTTGGTCTAAACTCCACTCGCCGTGTTTGGAGGAAGAAGAAGGATGAGTACAACCCCAAGAACACCATCCCAACCGTGAAGCATGGAGGTGGAAACATCATTATTTGGGGATGCTTTTCTGCAAAGGGGACAGGACGACTGCACCGTATTGAGGGGAGGATGGATAGGGCCATGTATCGCCAGATCTTGGCCAACAACCTCCTTCCCTCAGTAAGAGCATTGAAGATGGGTCGTGGCTGGGTCTTCCAGCATGACAACGACCCGAAACACACAGCCAGGGCAACTAAGGAGTGGCTCCGTAAGAAGCATCTCAAGGTCCTGGAGTGGCCTAGCCAGTCTCCAGACCTGAACCCAATAGAACATCTTTGGAGGGAGCTGAAAGTCCATATTGCCCAGCGACAGCCCCGAAACCTGAAGGATCTGGAGAAGGTCTGTATGGAGGAGTGGGCCAAAATCCCTGC